TCATCAGTGAACAGATTTTATGCCTCTGCTAGGAACCGAAAAAAATTGGCTCAAAGTTGAAAATTAGAGGGCCCTTCTATTACAGGTTTTACGGTAACTTGATCCTATAAGATTTGAAGGTTCTCAGGCTTCACTTGTGCTGATGATCTAGGACTAGTGGCACTGAATTGTGAACTGCGATCTATCTGGGTTTCGGAAACATTTTTTAATAATTTGATTGCAAACTTTATTCAGTTGTTAATTTTTTCCGGTCTGTTACTTTGGAAAAAATAGAGCTCTGAAAGGAGAAATCTAATGAATGGCATACTTGTCAAATTCTGGGCCGACCCGTGTAGCTAATTTTTGAAAATTCTTGAAAAATCTTTCTTGAAAAGTTATTAAACTTAACATCAAAGACATTTTCCTGAGATATTCCACCCTTACAAAAACATCGAAACTTTGAAAATTTTCGAATACCTCCAATTTTTTAAGTTTGAGAATCTGACCCGGGCTGACAGAGCCTGCCGGGCTAGACCAGAGAGTTTTCATTTTGGTTCGGCCCGGTCTGTGACAAATATGGTGAATGGTAATTGCTCACGATCTGAAACTAACATTACCTTTGATAATTGGTTAGAAGATATTTCAAGATCGTTCGACCTTGCAAACATCATTGTTAAATCTGTACCTCCTCTGCACCCATCTTCCGCTATCAGAGCAGCATATTTATGCTCCATGTTCTTCAACGAAAATAGCGTTTGCTCCTCCTAATCTGCTCGGTGGGGGTATTCCCCCCAATACTGTCAAAATGAGTCACTCTCTTCTCCCTCTCTACAACACTCTTTCTCCCTCTCTTTTTTCAACACCTGATACGTACACATATCGGGGGGCCAGGACGAGGTGTCATTCATACATACCTGTTGACTGATTCATCCATTTTTCGCCCCCTTTTCCACAGCATCATGTAATATTTCTTTTTTGTCTGTATATTATTTTTAATTCCCATTGTTTTTTTTCTGTTGAAAACAATTGGAAAGCACTGCTATTGCTGCCATCAGGCATCACACCCGAACCGGTCGAATTCCGACAAAAAATTCGGCGCACCATTTATGATAATCTGTTCGCATTTTTGGGTTTCGTTTCCAAATAAACCGTCTCTCTGTTGAAAAAAAAGAGAGAGACTGGTCACTATGTGAGAGAAATAGAAGTGAGGAGATTACGGTAGAGGCGGTTGGACTGAAGTAATGCGATCCTTCCCTTCTTTCTTCAAGTCAAGTGCCCTTTCAAGCTCTCGCCTGGCACAACCAGTTGGAATCTTTCAGAGTAAATCGTCTCATCTAATAATGTTATTTTCTTTTTCTTCTTTTTCTTCAATACTTTTTATTTTCCTCTACTTGATCCTTTCTTTTCTTTATGAACACATGTTGCCGGCGCGGCTGGCGGGTCGCCTGCTGATAACGGGGCGCACTGGTGTCTTCTTCGGAGGATCCCTTCTTCTTTTTCTTCTTCTTATTCTACTTTCTTTCATTATCATGTTTCTTGTACAATCCCGCATTTACTATCATCCCGTGTTCGTGTGTTCCTTCGATTACGTAACTCTTCTTTTTCAGATAGTTCCCCCCTATTTGGGTCTCAAATATTGTTCGTTTACGGTCTTATTCTATTTGCTCAAGAAGGCGAGGAAAAACGGTGAGTTTTTTGCTTTTTTTGGTTTGCAGAAAAATGTTAGTATTTCAATATTTTACCATTCAATCTAGAGCTGATAACCTTTCAAAGAGTTTCCTATTCTCTTATTTGTTTTTTGCATCACTTCTTCTTCTCTTGATAGAAAAGTTCTTCCAAACAGCTGTAAAAAAAGACGACAAGAAAAAGCGTATATTGGAATCAGAAGAATGTGACATTCGGATCAGAAAGAGATAAAGCAAGAGAAAGAGGCATCTGGTGTAGAAAAAAAAGAAACGTCACATTGAAAATAGGATCAGGCTTTACGATGCACCTGGGAACAGTTCCAAACAAATGTTTTGAAATTTAGGATTTGAAATAGGTCAAATTTCAAAATTTTTTAAATTGGTTTGGAGCTTAGATCCAGCTTTCTCTGTGAAAACCCAAACCGAAAATAACGTAGATCCTCTAATTGAAACGCCACCCGAACCGGCAACTTTGAGCTCAATTATCTCGATTCCTGTGAAAAATGTGAAAAACTTGTCAACTGATCAGTTATTTATCATAATGTCACAAATATTTTCTCAGTTGATCTCTTTTTGATATTTCTCATAAGAACATAGATATTGGGCTCAAAGTAGACGGTTTGCGTGGGCTTATATTAGATGGTTTCGTTAATTTAAAGCATAACTTTTCTAGTTGCCTTCAAACATTATTTTGAAAATCTGTCACAAAGACTACCGTAATCCATTCAAACCATTTCCAGAAGCTTCCTATCTTCTCTTCTCTTTTTTGCTCCTTTCAATATGACATAATACGAAACTCCTCCCTTTTTTCCAATGACTCAATTTCTATTTTGATAAAAACAAACTTCTTCTTTCCATATTTCATTTTTCAGTCATTTTTTTCCTTTTTTTCCATTTCGAAACTTCTGGTTAAAACTGTCACTCTCTATTTTGTCGGAATTCTAGTTGTTTGCTCTATTTTCGAAGTAATCCTGAATAATTTGAGTCTGCGTCTTCTTTTCAATGCCTTTCGCTCGGTGTTTCAACATGATCGCTGGAAAAAAACCCCCAAAAATTGTCTGTATACTGTACTCGAAACTGTTGACGCTATTGTTTTTTATTCATCTCTCCTCAAATCGCTCCTTTTCGGGATTTCTTCCATTTTCTAATTGCCATATCTTCAACTCAATTACCTAACTTTGACACGTGCCAGGTGAATTCATGGAGGGTCGGCGACCTCGTCGGAATTCCGTAATTACTCTCTCCTTCCTTCTTCTTCTGCTTCCTTCAGAATAATTTTCTCTTCTTCTTCTTCCAACCTGCTTTTCCATCATTCCTACAAGGACACCCATGGAAGCCAATTTCACAATGTTCTTTAATAATAAGAGAGATTTAGTGAAGAAGGAAAATGAGCGACGATGGTATGCATGCGCGCATATATACAGTCGAGTGGAAGGCACTCTTTTCTTCCGTCTGCCATTCAAATTATATGGAGAAGGCGTTGGGAAAATAAGGAAGAAGGAGAAGCCTACAGAATGACTATTTTTGTACTTTTTCCGGAGACCGGACAGTCGAAATTATAGGAATTTACGATTTTAGTACTGTATAATCGGAAGCTTCTAGGAGTCTAGTTCTAGGAGGTGTGGTTTTGAAAACATCTAGATACCAACTTGGCATTGCCAAGTACCAAACTCAGTGTCTAGGATGATGCTTCTAAGAGCCAAGACTTCTGAAACTTTTTCTTTTTCATCTCTCTTCGAATTTCTATTTTTTTTATAAGACCAGATGACGATGGTGCAACATGTAGAAACATTTCAAACAATCGTTTACCGAAACGAACTGCAACATGGACAAAAAATTGGTGAAGCGATTTGATGACTGACTTGTCTAGTTTTTTGGAGAAATAGGGTGGAGATTCGTCTCAATTCGGCAGGCAAACAGTATACCATCCCGACCCGTACAGGAGTACATGTTTGTTCTCCGAACACCGCCTCTCTGAAAGAGAGAAATAGAGAGGTCATGCCACTTGGATGGGATTCCTTCCGGGAGAAGGAGAGAGACACTTCATTTAAATTACTTTGTTCTTTTCTTACCTTTACACCCAATTCTCACATCTGTACAGTGTTCGACACCTTCTTTTTCTGGAATTCTTTTTGTTTCCAAATCGTTTCCTGATAGGAATGGCTTATTGTTCAGAGTTCCAATAAATTTTCTCTGCAATTGTTTCTTTTGGCATGAGTTGGGTTTTGTATTTCTTTGACTCTAAAACTTAATAAAAGAGAATAGAATGCTTTAATTACGAGAAACCCTGTGTTCAAAAACCACATTTTTAGCAAATAGGTACTCTTATAGCTCTTGTAGCTTACCGTGAACACTTGAATAGAAGGCCGCTCTATACTTGCACTCTGAGCTTAATTATCTCAATTACCATAAGAGATAACAAAAATCTGTATATTATCAGTTGACTATTTTCTGATACCTTTTACCGGAATTGAGATAAATCGGCTCAAAGTTGACAGTCATGGAGCCGCCGACGGCCCGTCGTTCAAGCTTCTCTGCTCCCTCCCTTTATGGCGAGAAACTTGGGCGGCGACCTCACACAACTCCACATATCTCAATTCCTGTAGAAGATATCAAAAAGTGATAAACTGACAAAATATTAATTATAATATTACCAGCATTTTACCAGTTGATACATTTTTAATATCTCTTTTAAAAATTCAGATAATTGGCCTCGAAGTGCAAGAATAGGGTGACCTTCTATTACAGTGTTTCCAGTAATTTCCTTTCCCAAAATCCACTATCCATGTGTTTATGATTTCACTTTCTCTATCGAAAATGTCAACTCCTAATGTTTAGGCCCTAAATAAAACTTTTTGTTTACCCTGACCTGCCATGATGTATCTAAATCAGCGCTGCTCCATTCACAAGAATCTAGATTTTCCGCATGTGTGTGTGGTTAGGTTCAACTTCATGGATCTACTAGTTGACGGGCGGTACGAACATACACGAACACAGAGTCATTCGGTAAACAGATGAGAACTTACTTATCTTAACAGTCCTGGAAGAGTTCTTCTTCTCTCCACTCGTTCCTGATTCTATCGACATTGGATTAGATTTCCATTCAAATCTCGCATTTATGTCTTAAGAAGAATTCTTCTAAAAACATGTGTCGAAGAAAAAGAAGTAGAAGTTGTGAAGAAATGCAAAAGCCAATCTATAAATCAACGGTATATCACTTTCACTCAACTGCCAGTCGACCGTTGCCTCTACCAATTATCAAAGCACTCCCCCTTTTCGTCGTTTTTTTCCATCAGACATCTCCCTCCTCAATTTCTCCGAACACGAAGAACGCTTATGACCAGAATCAATCATAGTTATGGTCGTTTTGGTGACCTACCTTTCCGGTCACAATTGGGGTCCCTTTGGGGCTTTTCAGTTTCTTCAACACTTTTTTTCTCACTTCACTTTACACTGTCCATCTTTTTTTCTTCTTCGATCCGTTGACTCTTTTTCATTCGGCGCCACGAGTGTCTATGAGTGCTCAAAACGAGAGAAGAAGAGCAACAAGATGGAGAAAGAAAAAGATCAGCTCCCGTGAGAGTGAATCTAAAGAAAAGAAAGAGCGCATCACTTTTGATATTATATCCATCTCCTTTCATATATTCAATGGACTTTTTTACGCACCTTTTTCTCTTTTTATTAGGGTTTCCATTTGGGGGGCGATTCACCCGCCCGCACCCGCCCGGGGGGCTCACCCCCCCGCGGCCCCCCGTTGGCCCCCCGCGATTATTTACGTGAAGAAAATTTTATCTTTTTCGCTGTTTTTTGATTTCAGAAACTCTTTATTCTTGGATAATACGTGATTATCATTAAATATTAAATAAAAATTCACACGCAAATAATCGCGGGGGGCCTCGGGGGGCCGTGGGCGGTAGCCCCCCGGCGTGTGGCGGGTGGCTCTTTTTTCAACCCGCCCAAAAGGAAACCCTACTTTTTATATAGTTCCTTAATTTCAACCTCCCGAAGGAACTAAAGTAAACACATAATAATAATGGAACACCTTTTTGCTATTTAACAAGCAACTTTTCTTCAATTTCTCGAACAAATACCATGCGTAACATTTATGAAAAGAGGAGAAAAAGAGACCCCCGCCCCACTCAAATTGAGTCACTCAGGGAGAGATTCATGTAAGGGAAAACAGAAGAAGAAGAAGAAGAAGTTTCTTGATTTATTCCGAATTTTGTAATTTCTTGGATTTGAACTTTCTATTCCTCCTTGAAGCGTACTAAAAATCTTTTTAGTTTATTCTATAAAATCCAGAAAATCCTCACATTGCAAGATTACTGCAAAACCTGTAATAGAAGTCCCCCTTAACTTTTAACTTTGAATCATTTTATCTCGGTTTCTGTAAAAGATATGAAGTAGTTGTCAACTGATAAATTGTTTATTATAATACCAGTAATACTTTATCAGTCGACACATTTTTGATGTCTTGCACAGGAACCGAGATAAATTGGCTCAAGCTTGACAGTGTGCGGTCCATTTTATTATATTAGGTTGGCGGGAAAGTCTTTGTCACTCTGTTTGTTTAATCACTGTTCTCGTATATGGAGGCTGTGTATGATATCGACTCTAGTGAATAACAAGGTGATAAGAACCTTCCATATAAACAAGTCCCCATCTCCTTCCCTGCTCCTCATCTGTAATTGAAACGATATGTTTGTTCCCACTGCTATTCACATCAGACATGTTTTGATTTACCTCTTCCTATCTCACACCACGATGAAGGATTCGGAAACTTTCTTGAAGAATGTGTACAACACACATGCCCCTCACTACAATACTATTCGCAATTGGTTCCATCGTTTCGAAAAAGATGACTTCTCGCTCGATGAAAAGGATCGCTCTGGGAGACCCCGTGAGTTGGATTTGGACAAGCTGAAGCACGCATTGCAATCGGATCCATTTCAATCTAGCCGTGAACTAGCTGTCACATTCGGAGTTCACCATAGCACAGTCCTTGAAGGTTTGAAGTCTCTTGGAATGAGAAAACTTTTTGGTCGATTCATACCTCATCACCTGACTCAAGCCAACCTTGACCGCCGAGTCGACGATTCGATTACTCTTCTCACTCTCCACGCGGGCGATCGATGGCTGGACCGGCTAATAACCGGAGATGAGAAGTGGGTCTTCTACGATAATCACCACAGGAAATCCCAGTGGGTTGGAGAAGGAGAGAGCCCACAGGATGTCCCAAAACCCGACCTTCATCCGAAAAAAGTTATGCTCTCTGTGTGGTGGGGAGTGGACGGCCCCATCTACTGGGAACTTCTGCCCGAGGGCAAAACAATAACTGGAGACCTCTACACTACTCAACTACGAAACCTCAAGAAAGCAGTCGACCGTTCGGCCCTGAAAGACAAGAAAGTGTACTATCAACATGATAACGCTCGCCCACATGTTTCGAAACAAGTGAAGCAGGAGCTGATGGGATATGGATGGAATGTTCTCCCTCACCCCCCGTATTCTCCTGATCTTGCTCCTTCCGACTATTGGTTATTTGGCGATATGACACGTGCCTTCGAAGGAAGAAGCTTCAATTCCCGTGGAGCGGTCGAAGCGGCACTCAAACAATACGTTGCCTCACGCCCGGCTGGATTCTACCGCAATGGAATCCATAAATTGAGGGAACGTTGGAGACATGTTGTTGATAATGATGGACAATATAATTAATTATTCGGTTATTTTTTCTTTGAGAAATAAACTATTGAAAAAGTGACAAAGACTTTCCCGCAACCTAATAGGTTCTACGGTATTCAAAGTTTGAGTTATCTGGAGGTCCGAATACAATTTTTTTTTTCTTTATCCAACCACTAGTTTGCCTTATCTCATTTCATATCACCAACCTTCAGATTCATCCATCCACACTTTTTTTCGAATTCTCCTTGTCAGATCTTTATCTGGTGTCTGAATTGTTTCAATCACACTGACCTAGAAAACGACTGATTCGATATCAGAATACGATATCAGAGTATCCGAACAGTTTTTTGTTCTTTCTCTTCATTCCAGCAACATAGACACAACAGAAACAATAAACTTCCTATTCTCCTTCTTTCCTCCTAATCACAGAAATTCCTTCATTACGCAACTCGTTTGTTTCATTCAATTCATTTCCAGCCAGCTAGTAGTTTTTTTTCCGATGATCATGATATGATAGTCTCTCTAAAGTGTAAGCAAGCTTTTTTCTTTTTCTGTTTGTATGTGTTACACCCTCAGCTTTGATTCATTATCAGCGAACGAAGGTCGTATCTCCCTCCCGATTCATAAGTTAGAAGGTAGACAGGTTTCATGGGGGAGAGTAATTTTTCGATTTGTCCCTCCATCTGATCCCCTGATCCAATTAGCTGAGCACGATATTTATGTGTATGTTTTTTTTTGTCTCCTGAAGCTTCACGATGTGTAACAATCTTCTTTTCCTCTCAGACTATTTCTTGCTGTCTCGTTTCAAAATGAAAATCAATTTTCCGTCTTGTTTTCATGATCCATCATAATTCTGTCTCTTTTTTCCAGGAACTTCGATCTATTGGCCGGGAGCCGACGAGCCAAGAAGTCGAGAAGTAAACCATGTTTTCAGGACACCCCATTCTTGATGTGAGTTTTTGACGACTGTTTTTGGAAACTCTAAAAAGATGAAGATTTCTTGGAAATTTGAATTTCCAAATGAATTTAAAGATTAAATGTGATTTACCGTAAAACCAATAGAAATAGAAGAACAAAAAAAATAGAAGGACCTCCACACTGTCAACTTTGACCGCAATTATCTCGGCTCCTATAAGAGATATGAAAAATGTATCAACTGATAAAATGTTTCTGATATTATGATAAAAATTTTGTCAATTGACAATTTTCGGATATCTTTTACAGGAACCGAGATATAAATTGTTTCAAATTTTACGATTTGGGTAACTTTCTATTAGAGTGTTTAATTCTTCAAATTTTTTTTTAACTTTTTGCAACAATTTTGATTAGAGCATGACTCACTACTTGTTATCACTGAATGTTTCAAACTAGTAAAATTTATCCTACGACACCGAAAGTAGAGGATTTTTTTTCTTTCTGTAAAACCTGTAATAGAAGGGCCTCCACACTGCCAAGTTTGGGCTCGATTATCTCAATTCCAATGCAAGATATCAAAAAGTTGTCAACTGTTAAAATATTGGTGACATTATGATAAACAATTCAGTTGACAAATTTTTTCTATCATTGATAGGGACCGAGATAAATTGGTTCAAAGTTGAAAGTTGTGGAGGCCCTTCTATTAGAGTGTTTACGGTATTCAATGAGATTGAAAATAGAGGATTTTTCATATTTTCTGATTTTATATCGATTTTGCAGTTCCTTATTTTAACTAACAAATACATTCCATTCAAATTATTGGATCGTTCCTTATTGACTTTAAAAAGTTTCAAAACTGATTTTCCTCATTTCCCCCATTCTTTTTGATTTATTTTTACTGAACCATGTTTTTTTAGGAGATCAAGAAGGGGTTCAAACTTCGGCCAACCAAAACTGTCGACAAATCAAAACCGTTTATTGTGGCAGAAGGAGAAGATGAAACCGAGATTGCCGTGACAAAGCAAGCACCCGCATCCGGAATCCTTCCACCAGGACAGGCGATTCCGAAACCATCATTCATCCCTCCTCCGATTCCAAATGGTTTTATACCTCCACCGTTTGAGGGTGGAATCCCTCCACCACCTCCAATGTTTTCTGGCGGTATTCCTCCTCCACCACCCATGATGGGAGGGGTTCCACCACCTCCTCCGATGTTCGGAGCACCACCTCCACCTCCACCACCATCGGGATTAGGAATTTCTCCACAACCTCCACGACCCAAAACTCCAATAAATCCTGCACTGGCTAAACTGGGAGGAAAAACACCCGGAACAGTGGATCGAGGTGAATTCCTAAAAGGCATCCAAGGTGGATTCAAACTCAAGAAAACGGTTACAAACGATAAATCAGGATTATTTGTTGATGAAGAAATGAGAGAAAAGAGTGTCACACTTGTTGAGGCTGCACCTTCTTCGTATGTTTTATTCTTAGTTATTAAATCAAGATTAAAAGCCAGTTTGAAAAAAAGACACCTCCAACATCAACTGATATTGGATGTTCAAAAATATTTCATTTCGTCTCTTAAAATTTCATTTGTTTTTTAGGTATATAGCACCGGATCGTGGAAGAAGCCCTGCACGCCCACACTCTTCTCTTGGCTTTGGTTCCGATGACAACCGATTCCGAACTCCCGAACCTCGAGACGACTCACCTGAACAACTTCTTGGACAACGACGACCGATTGTGATGAGACAGAAAGGAGCTCCACCACCGCCGCCAGCTGAATTTGGTTTTGATTCAGAGAAGCAGAAAGTGACTTCAGAAGATATCGAAAAAGAGATTAAGAAAGGATCAGTTGCATCAAAAATGGCTGCATTGATGGGCAATATGGGATACTCGGCTGGTTAGTTTTTCTTTTTTTATGAATCAAAATTTTTTTTCAGAAAAATGCGAACAAATCGGAACTGGAACATTACCCCGAGCCACATTCAGAAGAAGTCCCCTGAGAAGTTCAATGATGTCGTCATCTTCTGAAGTGAACAACAACCACGACAACGATACTCCAAAACCGAAACCCGTGTCCAAGTGGCATGTTGACACAAACTATGGATTGAAATCTGCATCCAGATGTAGGAAGCATACTTTTATTACTTATCTATCAATGTGTTTTCAGCTAATGTCCCAATTGAGAAAGAAGAACGTGCTTCGTCAGTGATGAGAGATCGTAGCTCTTCTTGGTTGGATCTGACGAGACCACCAGTGGAAAGAGCAAGAACACAATCCCCAATTCCACTGTGTGAGCGCCTAGAGCTGGATGATCTGGACTTTGATCAGGTTTTTTCATTCGTTTTGAACTTTAGTTGTAATTTTTCAAAAAACTTTCAGCTTGTTGATGAAGTGGCAGCTCAAGAAGCAGCAAAAGCGGCACGCGGGGAGAAACCACCTCAAAAGAAAACGACAACAACAGGGAAAAAGAAGACAAAACAACTCCCTGAGCCGATTAGTGTGACGACAGATTTCTGCACAACTGGAGCCAGAAGGCCGTCGACGACACCACAAATCCAAGAGACTCCTCCAACTCCTGCTCAGAAAAAGACTTATGGATATCAGCAACCAGCACCATCAGTACCAGCATCTACAAATAATTCTAGAGGAACAAATACATGGAGGTAAGCTTTTTTGAGTTCTGAAGAACTTCCTGAATACGTATTAGAAATAATTGTCAAATTTCCTTTAATTGAAGCCTTCCTGATAGTAAGCCGTCAACTTTTAATTTAAATACCGTATTTCCTCTAATATAATTCCTCCCAAACCGTTAACATGGAGCTCAATTATCTCGCTTCCTGTAAAAGATATCAAAACTTTTTCAACTGATAAAATGAAGGGGATATTATGATAAAAAATTTGTCAGTTAACAAATTTTTGATATCTTTAACAGGAATCAAGATAATTGAGCTCAAAGTTGACGGTTTGATTGACCTTCTATTAGAGGAAATACGGTATCTTTAAAATTTAAAATTTTCATTTAACAACAGTTCTGCAGAATTCTAGTGTAAAAGACTAAAAAGGTCTGAAAAAAATTTAAAAACCTTCCGAATCGACCTAGTTCACTTACCATTTCCACTGATTCCTATCTTCACTCTAACCCATTTTCTCCCAGAGCGACCAGTCCATCATCAGCTGTCGAACCATCCGGAGGAACGTCTCCAATCTCTTCTTCAGTGTCTTCTGCTTCTGCTCCTTCTCCATCGTCGCTCTCAGCTGGATCAGTGTCTCCAGATTCCACCCCGAAGAAGAGAATTGGAGCGAATCCAAACTTTGAAAAGGTAAGCATTTTATGAGAAGATTTGGTCATTGACTGGAGTGAACTTTTGAGTTAAAGTAGATGAAGAAATGAAAAATTTCAAAAGTTTTCAAACCGGAAACTAACAAAGATTTTTTTACCGAATCAATTTTCCCCTGTTCATGTTGTAAAACGATCCCCTTTTCTATTCAGGCAAAAGAAAAATGGGGAGCCGTTCCGAAAGCGGAAGACACACCACCGATATCTCGTGGATACTTGATGCGTGAGAGCAAAACACCAACACGAGAAGAAACGACTCCAATTCGAGAGAAGACACCGGTGAAGATAGAAGAGCCGAAAACCAAAAAGGTGACTCCTTCTTCATTAAACAAAACAAAGGAGAAAGAGAAAAGCCCTCCATGCTTCGCCGTGACTGCTGCCGAAGCGAAAGGTGCTGCGGCGGTTGCGAAGGCGAAGAGTCGGAAGAAGTCGTTGAAGTCATCAGCCCCTTCTGTTCCTGCTACCAACACCACCGTCAGCCCCACCACCACCACTTCCACAACTAACAAACCTACTAGCACTTCCTCAAACAAGCCAAACACCACCTCGTCCACCGAGCATTCCCCTTCCCCGAATGCAACATCAGCTTCTTCCCAAAAACGAGACAGTATTGGCAATGCTGATATTAAGAAGAAGACTCCATATGGACAACCGATGATTGGAACTGTTGCTGATCGTGCCAGTCGATTCAAACAGCAGCTGCAGGCGGATGAGGACAAAGGAAAGAAACCGTGGCAGGTAAGCCTTGTGGTGTGAAGAGGATGGAGCGATGGTATGCAATATCCATCGCATTGTGACGTCATTTTAGTCAATATGGCACGAATAGTCCATAATCACGTCATCTAGGCCATCTCCCCTACCTCTACACACATTCACATACACTCCAAAACGTACTTAATGGTTGTTGGGCAGATGTTTAGAGGACCTGGTAAGACCAGGATCGAACAGACAACTCCCCAACAACCATAGTGCTTAATCACCCTAAAACCACCCAAACAACCATCACACTCTATGTTCATTTAGAAGGGAGAAACTAAGAACTACTGATCCATCCAAATCCGTCGCTCTCCAGGGAAAAGGTACCTAGAATGCGGGTGGTCTGCTGTCTGTTCTTCTACTTCTCTCTGCTTACCATAATTCTTTCCCCAATGTCCCTCTAACATTAAATGCACCTGTTCCATATCCTTCTGTTCATTTCTGTGTGTATCTATTATACTTATCGGGTGTCATTGGCCTAATACGCAGGGTTTGGATTCTTGGAGTGAGACTTTTTGAAAAACGAATGGAATTTGGGTTGAATATGTGAAAAGAAATATAATATACTGCTACCTGTGTGTACATCCTTTTTCCCTAACGTATGTCTTCAGAATCCCTTCATGTCTTCTACACCACCACCGACGTCTTCTCGTTCTGCTCGAGAACAGCTTTTCTCTTCGTCTCCCCGTCCTAGTCAACACGTGATTAACGTGCCAATCAGTGCTCCATGGTATTCGTGTGATCCGATTGTCAACCCGGAGCCACCAACTGTGCGGAGATCCGTACCACGTCTGTCGAACGCGTCCAAATACTCTCCCAACTCATACCGGGTATCGTTTATTTGTCTCTTTTTCTCAATTTCTGTCTCAACAATCCCCTTTGTCGGCGTCGCGACGATCATTGACAGTGGGAACCTGTCGGCATGCGAGTGTTTGATACGGTTCACTTTGAATGAGTGTTTCGAGTGGTTATTGAACAGTTTCAAAATTGGTGGAAATGTGGAAAAGAGAATCATTTTGGAGCATTAGTTTCAGATAGGAACATTTCAAAGAGAAGTGCTCCAAAACTGTCTTTCTTATTTCCAAGTTTCTACAAAGACCATGTGTGAAAATAACCGAATATCTCAATTATATAATTTACAGATCTCGTTCGACGAATTCACGGTACCCCATCCATCACAAATGCGCGACCATATCCACTTCAACATTGATTTGTCTCATGATATGCCGCTCTTCGTTTCTCGTCGCTAGTCCATCACATCTTCTACTTTCTCAGTGTGCTACTAGTTCATATTCTACTTCTAATTTCTCTCAATTTTCCTGTTTGTAAATACGCTCGGGTTCCCGTCTCCAACTGTCCCCCTAACTTTCTGTTTCAAAAATACTCCATTTTTCGGAGTACTTTTGCCCCAGTTTCGGAACAGGACCGCCGAAATTCGCCCACACCACAATTCGTGATTTGCTTTCGGTGCTTCAACTATTCTTTCCCTTTTTTCATCGTGCCTTTTATGTATTTTCAGTTCAATGCTTTCATTTCATTCGTTTCTCAGAACATCCTCATCTTCTTCTCCGTCTCTCCCCTTTCCTCTCAAAAGGTTTCCTAGTCGCATCGTTTTCATGTTTATATTTTATTATTTTCCCTTGCGTAGATTTATGTATTTTTCGAGAAACGCAATTTGATACAAGTTGTTCTTCTCCAACCTTTTTGTTCCTCTACTCTTTTTTTCTCATAAAGAATTGCTAATACGTACCGTAATCCGTCAACAAACAAGCATCTGCTCACCCCCACTAGGAGAATACAACAGTTGGCGAGCAAATACGTCATGTTGGATAGAATGGTGCGGGTGGATGATGCAACTCTTTTTTATTAGCATGTGTCTGATGAATGGGGTGGAGAATACTGTAGGTGACGTAATCTTAATCGGGATTACGGAATGCACCGCGAACATTTTCTATGATGTTAGAATCGGTAGAACACCTCATTGAGATCGAATTATTTGGTTCATTTTATAAGAGAGTTATCATCAGACTGAAGGTTGAAATTTCAGAATTATCTTCAGAATCTCTTCTTTTTCAGAGCCGGATTACGGTAAACATCGAATCATACGCGCATTGTGTAAGTTGACGTACTCGTGTTATGCACACAAAAAATCGTATTCTGCGCGGGAAGTTTTTGAAATTTTTTTTCACTTTTTTTTCTAATTTTCAGCCTTTTTCTCTAGTGTTTCAGTATGAATTTTGAAGAAAGAACTGTATCAATCTTTCCTTCAATCAGTTTTCCATAGCCGTTCCACTATCTGACAAATATTTATTGCGAAAAGGGCATGCTAGGACTATATATAGGCTTATACCTTTTTCGTGCTCTGTTGTTTTGCATTTCGCCAGTTAGTCCAGTTCCGTTTTTTTAATCGGCCACCCAATTTTTCGCTCCTTGGTCAGATCGAAAACAACAGAACAACACCGCGCGCCTCGACCGACGAACAGTCGCACTTTTTGGCACGCAGCCAATGTTTAAACGAGTGCGGCCTTGGGTCAACGAAAGACTCCACCCATTTTATATGTGAATCAAATGAATCAGCGGATTTCGACTTTAGCCTAGATAACACCTTCTTTTTCGTTTTTCAGTCTCCCGGCTTTTAGAGGTTAGGTTCAAATAGAAGTCAATGATTTTTGTAATCTCTAGGTCGACCGCATCGAAAATCGGAAGTACCTCTTCCTCGACGAACGTGTTCATATTTCACTTCATCATCTTCCAATTTCTTTCATCCTTGCTTCAGGCAATAGGCACTCACTGGAGAGTATTCCTTCGTGAGCGATTTTCGAAGTCACTCACTAACTCTCTCACTAACAAATACACTCACACAACACAAGCGTGCTGTGGTGGCCTGGTCGTCTTCTTTGCCGCCTCGAGTAACAGCAGTTGTGTGAGTGTGTGCGTGTGTAGGGTGGCCCAGCGTTTTTCTCTGCTCTCTTGGCACCGTGCCAAGTGTTCTTTTTTCAGCTTCAGAACCGTAGCACTGCTCCCTAGTCCCAAGAAATCGGTTTGCTTGCGTGAATTATCATGAGGATATGCATTTGAATCATTCTCTGACAAAGAGGTACGGTAGACTCCACTTTTTGCAAAGATAGCATGCGAGACGAAGAGACGCAGAGTAAGGAGGCGGGCGCCGGGTGGGCAGGCACGCAGAGTAATCGCTGGCCACACTGAGACTCCGCCTCCACGCGCGCCGAAATGGGGAGCTCGGCAACCCCTCTTCGCTTAGTTCTACCCCAGGCCAGCCGATGAGAAAGGACCTTAGTTTTCATATTCCATATTCTACCCAATCCCTTTGATCCAGCCCTTTATATAACCGTTTTTGTTATCGTCTAGTAAGGTGACCAGGCGTGTTTTTTTTTCTCTGTGTAACATAGCCAACGAAGAGTATTTTGAAAGCGTCTCGAGTCGCATCGCCTCTAGTGATGCTCACCAAGTCACCCGACTTTCTTATAAGATCTACGACTTCGCGGTGTATCATCTCTAAGCTGTTTAACTGATCACAAACAACTGGTAGAGTCCTCGGTAGATTCGCCCCTGTTTGAATTTCGCGGGCGAAATTGTGACGCTCTGTCTATCTCTCCCCCCCCCCTTTCCTTCTTCTTGGCCCGCTGCCAAGTTAACACTGAACCTTCGCTCCTATGACTAGCCCTCCTCTTCATATGTTAACTTCTTCGTTTTTAATTCTCTAGATGCATTCTATTTGAATTTTTATTTATACTTCCTGAATTTCAGAGTTTATATCTCCAAAAACACTATCATTATGTCGGCCGTTGAAGAGAGACAAGCCGAGAAAAGAACTCTCGATAAGGGAGACGAGAACGATGACGTCGTGCCAACTAAAGAAGCCAAGATCGACAACGGAAAGGCCGAGGTGAGTAAAACTATCATAGATGTGGTTGGCGACATGAAGATTCCGTTTCTCTCATGCCTACAACAACCATCTTCTAATAACACTCTAAATTTCATTTTTGCAGGACGAGGCAACGGAGAAGGTCGTCAAAGGTCAGTATAGGTTCTTGAACCATCGAACTTCGGACTGAAATCTAATTGAGCATCCTCACTTGCGATTTTTCATCTGATTTACTCGTTTCTCATCTTTCGGTAGTGTGTTAGTAGACGCGTGTATATGTTTGAAGGTGGTGGTGGTGGAAGTGCTGCGAGGCCGTCAACCGACGACCGACCTAGGTCGAGATAGCGTTCGTAAGACATTCAGAGCGACGACGAGGCGAGGAGTCGAGCGCACGCATCGCGTCGACCGCGACGCGCCAAGATAACAGTCGTGCTTGGCTGCCTGGCCTGGCTGCTGTGTGCGTGTCAGTGAGCGATAGAATGAGCGAGTGAGTGTGGTCTGTGTGTGCGCGTTTGAATGAGGAGGTCGGTCGAGGCAAGAGAAAGCGCTCAGTGGGGAAAGAAGAAGGGCTGCTAGCTGCTGCTGACTCGCGAATTTGTATGGGCTGTGCGTTTTGTGTGAGTTGTGGAGGCTGCGACGCGACATCGTCGTCGCCGTCGTTTGCGAATGACAGCCTTTCCCACAGCTGCGGATTGATTTGCGCTGTGTGATGTGAGACACAGGAATAAGAAAAAAGTAGAAGGCCGGCGACGTAAAGAGATTTGGAAGAAACCAATGAGCCTGCTGTTGAAATGCGCACATACATGGATTAATCAAGAGAGACTGCTCGAATAATGATAAGGACTAGTCTAGATAACAACTAAATCGTTCTGATTCCAAAGGTAATGGTTTGTATTTTTTAGAGGACGCTGAAGGAGAGGAGGAAGGAGATGAAGAGGATGCTGACGACGAGGAGGAGGATGTGAACGACGAGGACTCTTCTGAGGGAGAAGGCGAGGGATCTGACGGTGGAGAAGAGAAGAAGAGGAAGGATCTGGTGATGACGAGGAAGGAGATGATGCTGAAGGAGGAGAGGAGAGCGACTGAGCTGTGTAACAACCTGGGGAAGAAGCTTCGTCATGCACGCCAAATCCCACATCCACAGAAATCACAATTCTTTAAATCGAAATCTCTAAAAATTCATTTTTTGGGGATAGATCTCAACTCCTCAGTAATTTACCCGAAACTTTTCAACTTTAAACTTTTTCGATGCTGGCCCACTTCTTCACCCTAAAAAACAACTGTCACAAAATTAAGTAACCTCCCCCTCCTCAAAATTGTTGAACATCCTATGTACCTGTTTCCTGAAAGTAATTGTTTCTTGTCCCCCTTTCTTGGTGTCCATCACCCTAATTTTCTCTTAAACCTTTCACGATTCTCTCGCCCATGAACTATTTTTGGGAGAGAGCTGTCTGTAAAGTCATAAGTTATTTTCCCCTTCTCTCGGTATACTTTTATCTCGGCATCGGCCGATTTGACTGTACTATCCCATTTTATTCAAACTCAATAAATTTTGAAATTCAAAAAAGAAGTTATTAAAATGAATGTCCAAGTTTACAGCATGATTCAGGGGATTTGCCACAAAACTTGGAGTCAGTTGAAAGGAGTTGACAATTACCGGGTTATATTGGTGGTGGAGAAAGGGGAGAAGATGAAGATCCGAATAAACTCGAAACTCCTCAAAAATGTAAAAATTGGAAAATTTCAGAAGCAGTGAAATGATAAAAATAAGCATCCAACAGTGGATGTGAAACTAAATAGCGTACGAGAAGACGCTTCTCTACTAGAGAGGATCTTTAGCACATTATGAAATTGAACTGTGAAAATTGGGTGCTCCGGAATTAACAACAACTAAACATAATAAAGAAAGAAGAACATTTTGAGAACTTGGTGAAGAAACTACTAGAAACTTGAATTGTTTCGTCTGCAATGTGCTTCGTAAATAGTTCTAGATTTTTTGACCATCAGATCCTTTAGAACATCATCTTAATGAAGTGATTTATATTTAGCTAACCATAATTTTGTTGGTTTATTCAGAAAGACAAAACAAAAATTTAGTGTATCTTCAGTTTTTATGTCATTTTAAAAAGCACGCGACTTTAAAAAAATGAATTCTTGTGATAATAGCTCTTCAAGCCATAAAAAATTGAAATTAATTTTGGTATTTTCTTTGAATATGAGGTCGGTATTGAAGAGAATGGAAGACGTATTTCCGGTGTCTTGGAATTGTTTTTTTCTAATGGTTCGAATACGTTTTCCGAAGTTATAATAGTCATTTTCAGTCCAGATATCACGAATTCACACACAAAAAAAGGTTTAAGACTTTCAGAAAATCGTTTTTCAGGCATCGGAAAATAATCTTCCACGTTTGTTGCTCGTTTGTTTTCTGGTTGTCCGAATACAAACACTTTTCGAAGCGATATTAGTCTTTTTCAAGCCAGACATTACGAAGTCACACCCAAAAATTTTTTAGACATTCAGAAAATCCTTTTTTAAACATAGGAAAACGTTTCTCTACTTTCTTGCTCTCTTTTGATGTCGTGAATAGCGCCTATCAGCGCGAAAACGAAAGAAACCCCGGAAAGTCCGGGGTCTCAAACGAAAAATTTAGGCGCAAGCAAGCTCGCCCCGCCGCACTACGTTTGATACTCAGTCAAGAAGCGTCGGCAGCGAAATAGGCCATTTTCCTTCTTTTTTTGGGACTTCTCAACGGTTTTTCGATTTTTTCAAGCGTTTTGATGGATTTTCGACTATTTTTTGCTCAAATTTTGAAGAAAAACATCAAATTTATGGACTGAAGCTCTTTGCAGCTGAAAATCACTAGTATTTTTCGAGCAATTAATGTTTTTTCGCAAGTTTTTTTTGTGTGGATTCCGTTCGTTCATTTGTGAATTCCTTTCGTAAATTTAACATATAATCTCTTTAAACACCATTTTTCACACTTTCGATGCTTAATGCTTAATTTTTTCGGGTAAAATGGTGCACGTTTCCGGAACCAACGTCAAGGTCGTCAAGAAGAAGCTCACCAAGTTCAAGAGACATGAATCGGACAGGTAAAAACAGTTTCCCCTATGTTCTTCACTAATATTGCTTTTTTTCCAGATACCGCCGCGTCGCCCCAAGCTGGCGCAAACCAAAGGGAATCGATAACCGTGTCCGCAGACGTTTCCGCGGTATGCGTGCCATGCCAACCATCGGATTCGGATCCGACAGAAGAACCCGCTTCGTACTCCCAAGTGGATACAAGAAGGTTCTTGTCCAAAACGTCAAGGTAAAAGAGTTTATATTTCTAAATAATTTATTTTTGAAAATATTTAGGACTTGGACATGCTCCTGATGCAATCCTACAAGTACATCGGAGAGATCGGACATGGAGTCTCCGCCAAGAGCCGCAAGGGAATCGTCGAGCGCGCCGCTCAGCTTAACATCAAGTTGACGAACGGAAACGCTCGTCTTCGTACTGAAGAGTCGGAGTAAATTTGTTGATCTTGTTATAAACCTGTTTTGAAAATTCATGTTTATTCTTCAAAGAGTAAATCAGATCACACATTGAGATGATAATTTTACTAGACAGCTTGTCTCAATTTTGCTAGACGTTGTTCCAATTGGTCTTCTTCCGGAGTGACCTCTTTGTCGAATAGACCGAATCTGTTTGTGGGGGCTTCGGGCAAGTGCATGGAATCATCTCTCTGAAATAACATCGTGAGAATAAGGACATGATAAAGAGTTTACCTTGCTTTCGCTGAGCAAGTCATCCAACTCTCTTTCCAACTCAGTATCGTTGAGACTGCTAGCGCCGGCAAATGGTGAAGAAATTGCTTCTTCAATTTCTCTGTATTCGTCGATAGAATTCACGACATCGTCCATGGTCTCATGAATCTTGTCTGGGGACAATCCTTGCCTTGCCAATGTAGCCTTGAAAGCTGCAGTACCCGATTGATATGCTTTCAGAACATCCTTGTTGTTTTTGGCAGCGGAAATTTGATGAAGCATTGTTAGAAGCTTTTGATATTGCATATCCTTGTCCGCCACATCCTTTTCAGCCCGTTTTTTCTGTCGCAAAAAATTTTGTGCACGACCTTTATCTCCTGCTCTCAAACAGGATCTGCACTGTTCATCGTACTTCTTAACTTTTTGCTCGAGTTGTTGGATTTCGCGATCTAATTTAGTCATTGCCTTACGGATATCAACAACGCTAGCATCCGCTTCGGTGAACTTTACAGGGTCCTCGCTGCCATGGTCTTTGAACTTAAGAACTTTCTCGCCATTTTTTGTGTTTCCCACCGTTACTTCCCCGGTGTCAGACAAGTGATCCAAGACAATGTCGAACGTTTCCGATGTCGATATGATATGTTTCGCTCTTTCGAACATCTCCTTATAGGTAACCACTTCGCCAGTGCAATCTACTTCTGAGCGTAACTCGTCGTTATAAATAGTGAGAAGCTCCTGGCCCAAGGTCTTGACAGTTGGAAGATGAAGAAGTTGCTCATAGTCAGAAGAACCACCGAACATCCATCCTCGCGTTTTGGAGATTCCCCATCCAACCCATCCGGAGTGACGATCTCGCCATTCTCCAACAGTGATCACATCACCTTGCCTGAAAATTAACATTTGTCATGTTTTGAAAATTGTGATAGACTCACTTCTTCAAATTGTCCAGCACAACATTCAAACTCGCCGGAATTTTATCCTTCCGACGAAATCGTTTCTTCAGTGTTAGAATATCGAAGACTGCATTTTTCTCACCAATACAACTGGACCTAATGGTATCCGTCCAGAATCGCATCTTTCTGTCGTAATCGGCTTTGTTCACAATTCTTTCCTGAAATATAGTTGTGTTTTGAAACTCGTGTGAGATTCTAACCTTCATAACGGACATTAACCCGTTCATTTTTACGTCGTCTACCCATTCTTCCGGAAGATATGATGCCATTCTTTAAGAAAAAAGATTGGAGATGATCGGCTGTTAAAAAGACAGCTTTATAACACAAAACGAGTGAAAGAAACAAGAGAACAACTAAAAACGAAGAAGAGGTGGCTTGAGTTGCGTCTGATTTTGAATTAATCAATATCGAATATGTACACCGCCACCAAAAAAACCTAAACCAAAAGATTTAACAAAGTACGGCTCCTGTACATTTTTCTATTTCATATTTCGAAGGATTTTCATGGATAAATCGCTATTTACATTCATTCTTTCAATAAGAACGAACATGAAAAACTTCAAGAAAAAAGTCGGAACTGTGAGAAATAGAAACATTTTCTGAGAGAATAAATATCAGGACTTTGTAATTTGCGCGCTCTCTCTCTGCCTCTCATAGCCTATAATGAGAATCCTAGTCCCTTGGAGTGAACAGCTTCGATTCGTGTGCAACTGCGCGTCGCGGTGTTCGCGGTGTCTACGTACCAAGAAAATTTTTTCGTCTCAAAAACTGTCTGTCTTTCTACATTAGCCGTTTTTCTCATGATAGGCTGATTGCCAATTGAATAGGTGATTAAAACCATAAAACCAAGTATCAACCAATTGTGTTTCCTCAATAGTATCGAAAAAACTCCGCGACAGAGTCGATGAGGACCAAGTTTTTTGATTTTACTTTTTTTCTAGTGAATATCATCGTTGCAATATCATCGTTGCAACGCGTTGAAGAAAACAAGAACTACTTCTATATTCCATGCCTGCGGTATTCTTTGAAGGGACAAATATACTTTTAGACGAAAGAAAAATCTGAGTTTTTTTGAAATTTGATAAATACAGTAATTTATTGACATGCAGTGTAAAAAATTTGAAACAAATTATGTTGTTTTGAGGTATTTATAAGTGAATAACTCAATTTTCGAAGTCATTCGTCTATTTATGATCTGTCGGCAGAGTTTCTTGATAAACTGTATTGCAGCTTGATTTCGTGGGCTCCGGCTCAAAAGATGAAATCGAAGAATTTTGAATTATTGATTTTTTTGCTCGATTTGCTTATATTGAAAAAATCTCCTTAACTCTCTTCGAACCATCTCACTTATCTTTTTGCTTCAATGCAACCTAATCTAAAAATGTTCTTTTTTCTGTTTCCCATTATCATTATTATTGATAGTTGAAAAAGTTTCAGTCTTCATAGAACGCAATTTTCTAACTTTTCGTTTTATTAAACTGCCAGTCTGCACCAGAAACACATTCCATGTGTAAAACATAATCGCTCGTTGCCTACTTCGATTGAGCTAATCTTCTACTGCTCGTCTCTGTCATCTCTCAATCCACCCACCACACTATTAAAGCATTCAATACTTTCAGAAATTACACAGAGTGGCACAATTGTGACATTGATCGCCGCCACGCTGCAATCATTCTAGACAAAAACGGGTTGGAATCGGACAGGGGCGACACTGCCCACAGTCCAATGTCTCCAGGTATCGCAATTTATTCAACACTATTTACGTTCACAACCCTTTTAGCTTCAGAAGGCGAATCTGTGGACCTTGATATGCCGGTCGGTGAATCAGCGAGCTCGCCGCTGGACGGTGACACTGCTCCTCTCAACGTCTCTAACAACGAATCTGGCGATGAGGGGCCTAGAAAGAGATCCGCTAGCCCAACAGCAAACCAGTCAACATGGGGAGATAATCCGGCTAAGGTTGGTTGTCATAGAAACGTGCGAGGCTGAGCAGAACGGCGGTTTTTGTTGGTTGTCTTGCAAAAAAAACAACCAAAACATCAGAAAACATGACAAAACCACTGTTTTCATGATCAGTTTAGAAACAAAACAGAGATATAGGAATTAGAGATTATCACATGTTGCTCAAATAAATTCATTATTATTATTATTATTAGACGGATAATGTACAAAGGGGGCAAAAGACTGCAACGGTTGTTTTTTTATCTTCCTCGAAAAAACAATAATTTATTGGACCAATCGCTAAGATAAAACGCCTGAAATGCCCTTATATTTATGTTTAACATCTGCGTGCTTCAGAAAATCTGCACGGAGGGAATCGACCTGTGGGTTCAATCAACGAGTGAGGCGACAGCTCCCGATGTGTCACAGACGTATCAAGAAAACCATGATATGCTTGTCTCAATGGGGTTTGTCTATCCCACTCTAGTCGTGTTCCGAACATTATGTTTGCAGCTTTAATTCGGATGAAATCGACACAGCTTTAAGAATGTCAAACAACGAGGTTGAAAAAGCAATTCAGTACTTAACTCGAGAGATAACTGGTTTGGATGCTGCTTCGAAACCGTCATCATCTGTAGATAAGCCGCAGAAACAATGTTATCCTTTAAACGAAATGCTGAGAAGTCAATTTGTGGAAAGTGACGAAGAGGATCTGGCTGATGATATGAAATTAGTCTGGGACGAAGAATCATTTCATAGACTCCGAGTGATTCTTGACAACAACCATCGCTATGTGATATTCCGGCAAAACGGCACATTACATCGAAGAATGATGGTAATCATAGTTGTGGTAATAATGCGATCGAAAACACAATTTTCAGGTAGCAACCAATATCTTGCGAGCGAAGAAAAACGAAAAGATGGCGGAAGTTATTCATTTCGTCGATGAAATTTTGTACTTCGTCATTGGAAGACATGTGAATTGCAGCGACGTCAGACCTGGATTTGAGTTACTCCGACAGCTTCTCGAACTGCAGCCGCCATATATTGGTGAAAGTGATGCACATATTATCGAGCAGTTTTACATTGCCATAACTCCTCTTCTATGTGCTCGGCTCATGGTTCCGCCGAGCAGCGTGAAAACTGTATTGGCTATCGATGAAATGTTCAACTACCGTAACAAATTCTTCATTCAAGGGGTGCAATTCATCGATCTTGAGTAAGATTTCAGAATCGAATATTTAAAATTGAACACAAAAATTATAGGGATCGTGAATATCCTCCACTGAAATACATGGACATCGATAAACTGGAGAGGATTGAGCACAAACGCATCTATGCATATCTCACAGATGTGTTTGTGGAGGCTCTAGTTCCCATGATGGACGACAGATTTGAAGTAGAAAGTGACGAAGAATTCTTTGAAGTTACGCTGCTAGATCTCCAATGCATTCTCAGGACTTTAAATATCTTCAGTAACTATATGTGCCGAAATAATGATTTGTTCCTTTGCAAGTTAGAAACTTGGATCGAGAAAGCTCTTGATCGCTACAGAATCGTTAATGACAAGGAAATTCGTGATGCACTTATACGCAGACAAGGACTGGATCTCCTTCAAGAAATTGTTGTGCTCTGTGAACGATTCAATTTAGATGTTGCTACAACGACACAACGAGCAAGACTAGATTATCTCCGCAAATGGATCAAATGTCCACAGATGGAAAGCATATTGCATGCTCTAGAAGAACTCGGAACAATAGCTGATCGGTTTCACAGATCGGGAGGAATGACTATCACTCGTCCGAAGGCTAGCGTGAAGGAGGAATTTTTCAAGAAATGGCTCGAGGAAAACAAGGTTCTACAGATTGTTTTGACTGGAAATATGGATCATGTAGTATACGTGGAGCGCATTCAACCCATTCTACAATATATGACTCCTGAGTTGACTCTGGATGATATGAGTGAGTGAGGAAGCACATTTTCTCAAGTTGAACATTTTATTTTCAGAGTTTATTTGGTCGCTCAGAAAAGGAAGGATGGGTGTTAGTGTGGAAAATTTTAATAAGATCATGGAGTTCATCTCAAAGTCTGTAACCGACGAGCAAATCGAATGGCTTATCGAACTTTTCAAGAAGAGTTTTCGAAGTCGTGAAACGCGTCTTTACGAGCCTATTTTCAACTTCGCCTATATTATCGCCATTCAAAAAGAGCGGGACGATGAGTGCAAGTTGAAGATCTCCAAAATAATGTGGGAGCTGATTTTCATTGCGAGAGGCCCACCAAGATGTATGTCGTTCAAATCGATCGAGCACGGAATGAGGAAACATTGTGATCTAATGAATCTTATGTTTGACAAATCTGAAAGAGACGCCTTCTTGGGAAAAGTCCTGGACTGTTTGGAGTCAGATGAGCAATTCAACGAGATCATTGTCACATACATGTACATCATGCTTGAGAAGTTAAAACGGCAGTTTGGCTCGAAGAGACACATCGGCACCGGTAATCTTGAAGTCATATTATTGTTGTCCGAAAAAATTGAAGTTGAGACGCAGACAGTTAATCGAAATATTTCTCTGCGTCTCCACCGACTATGCGCTATTTAGGCTTGTCGCTTCGAGGTGCCTAACGTATTCAGACTGCAAAAAATACTCTCTCGCTCCAATTTTCTCGCACAACAATAATAGTGAAATTTGTTTTCATTCAAACTAAGTTTCAGCAGATGACGGATCGGCTAGAGCGAATGAGCTGAGAGCTCAACTTCGTGAACGGCGTATAGGTGACTCCATGCTGAGTCGTTTAGAACACATTCGTCGAGTGGCACATGAGCAGTTCGATGCGTTGCAGCAAGTCAGTCAAGATTCACAGTCCAACGCAGTATTCGAGTGTGAGTTGTATTTAGGTCAATTTAGTTTATATTGATCGAAATTTCAGCCACCAATGACATGTTTGGAGGGCATCATTTAGAAAACGTTCTTTCTACGCCTATCTATGGATGCACTGACTACGCATTCATCCTTCAACACTCTCTTCGTCTTCTAAAATGGCTCCATGATGCGGATGCAACTATTGTTGATGTCGAATATGTAGAAAGACTGTTTGATATCTTCATTAAGCGCCCTGATTCATCATCTCAAGAAAGAACTGAAATCTTCGGATTTCTTCTCGAGGTTAAGTTGTTGATGGTGAGACCTGAAACATCACGATCAATCATCACTCATTTGTGTGACATGGACATGTTCACATTGCAAATCACTGGGTTGCGTTGCTTCTGCAAATATTGGGAAGAGCTGCCGATCTTGAGCAACGAAGAGAAAGAACCCATTGAATCCTTCATCTTTAAGGTTTGTTTTTAGTTTAAGTGAGAACGTGCAAGAAATTCGAACAGCTTCAGAAAGATAATGAATGTAAGTTGTTTGTTTGGAAACTGATTCTTTTTAATCAGTTCGATGACGTCGTCGCTAAATGCATGGAGACGTTCTGTGAACGAGGTGAGCAGCGTGTTGTGATGTTTGGTAATTAATTTTGTACAGATTTAGTTCTGGTCGATTCCCCGTATTCCGTTCGTCATCATACATACAGTTTCCTGGCGGTGTTCAGTTTTTATGTGGAGAAGCTGAAAAGGTATGACTGAGTTTCTATTTCAAATTACGCAGTCCCTTTTTACAGTGAGCTTTACCAAAGAAATGGCATGCCGAACACCGAAATCAAATATGAAACGGAGGAGCTTGCGCTCAGCGACGAGGAAATTGAGCAATACTATGTTCCTCTCGATGACATGCTCACCGAAACTATCGTGAGAGCTTTAAACAGACTTGTTCGGTTCATGACTCGTTTTGTTGAACTTGGAAATGAGAAGAATCATGTGAGGCGATCTAAATAATTGCATTGTTATTCTAACAAGGGACTTACAGATGATAAGGGAGTTACCGAGTCATGGATCATCGGTATCAGGTCATCCGGTCACCCTCAACATTGAACTGAAAAACGACGATGATGACATCGATGTAAGCGAATATTCACCATGAATTGAACAATGTTTCACAAATCAGTATATTTTTAGTGCGGTCTGAATGCTTGGAAAACATTGGTTTGTGATTCGAGCACCACTATCGGAGAGCTCAAATTCCGTCTAGCAAAACGACTTCTGTTCCACGAAGGGATGACTGATTTCACAGTTCACAAAAGAGAAGATGATATCACGATGGGAGAAGCTAATCTTCGATATGATTTCTTGACGCTACAAAATGTTAAGGTTGCTACTGAAACTGATTCCATTTTTCTTTCGGAAAAGATTCGCATTCTAGTGAAACCAAAGTAAGTACATCGTTTCTAGTTCTGTCATTCGAGAAGTTCGTTAAGGAAATCATCAAGTCGCAGATCAGATAGTCAGATCTATCAAGTGAACCAAAAGAAAGCTCTCAGGGAGGATTTTCTTCCAATCACTATGATTTCTAAGTGCAATTTTTACGATCTTCTCCACGAACTATCATCTATTGGCGATAAGCACATTCGAGCCTCCGTGCGCAAACTGATGCTTCTACTGCCCACTCAACCGTCTCTTCTAATGCAACTAACATTCGTAAGCTGACTAATATCATTCTTATTCAATATTTACTATTTTAAAGAGCGATACAAACACGGAGGAGCAAAATGCTAAAATCACAGAAATGTACGAGCAATACATCAACCCTGCAGATCCAGGCCGAATGCTATATGCACTTGAAGCAATCAGTTCTATTATTGCTCCCACGAGAATGACATATACAGCAATGACAAAGGCTTCTGAACTGATAAATGCTCTTCAAATTAAAGAAAGCTTCGTGATCAAAAAGCTGGTTTACGAGATTCTCGCGAAACCGCATGTTATTCCACTCAACAAATGCTCGTCTGGCGATCGTCACTCAATTTTTGAAAGAATTTTGCAAATCGTCAGAACCAGTTTCACTGGACGGAACGCTTTCATCAAGACTGTCAAAAACGAGTTACGAGTTCGTGATGAAATGAAGAAGACATGTGATCGAATGATTCAAAGTCGGCAGAATCCACGACCAATAGATCCGCCAATGGAATTCGCATTGATAAGACAACAAATCGTGCCACCTGTAGGTATTGATCATCAGCGGTGCCCCTATTTGAACACTGAACTCGATGTTTTCGAGTTCAAAATGTAGGTTATATAAAATAAATATATAAAACGAATATATTCTTTAAGGTCTTTCGGTACGTACATGGCTACCATCAAAGCTTCTCTAAATGCATGGGAGCTGGCTGATTTGATCCCATTCTTCGAGAGAATCCGCGATTTTCAATGGATTCACGTGGCTACAGAGAGTCTCGTTGTCAAGCAGATTGATCCATTCCGAGAGAAGGGTGCACCGCAAGATCCACTGTCAGAAACTGCTAGTGATTTGATCAGATCAGTCACGCGAGGAGAACGATGTAATTAGTTTAGCTCTTAGAAACAATGTAACAATCATAATTTTCAGGGGGTGATGAGTGCCGTCTCATAATCGTTAAGAAAGCATTCGCTCTCGTCCGGCACATTGTCATCAGTTGGACTGAGAAAAGAAACGGTGCTGCAATGCCACTTCTCGACACAATCTTTCTAGAAAAAACTTGGGTGGAATTTTATCAGGATGTTCTTGTCAACTCTCAACAAGAAGCTTATCGGAAGTACTTACAAGAAAACATCGTTAAAATGGGAAAAGACAACTATGATATCACAACACGTGCTTTGAGAATGCTGATCGATATGTTCATGATCCTTCCGCTACACAAAGGTTACACATCAGATCTTGACGAGCTTCAAAAAAGACAACGGCATCACTGTGACGGAATTGTGCAGACTGTAGTCGAAATTTTCTTTTATGAAACTTCAAGGAGATGTCGGGACGATCAGAAAGACCTTGATTGGACGAAAATAGGTCATAACCCTATCGAAATCGTTCGTGATCAAATTCAAAGCGTATTGAAGTACAAACCGCGGTTCAGTACAACGAACAATGACATCGCACTGACGGAAAATGTCTACGCTGCAGCTAAGATGAGAATGATTAATTGTCTTCTGCCGTATTGTAGTCAAGATGATATTGAAAATTGCTCAGGACATTTCTTGAGTGCTATCATCAACGATTTTCTGTTTCCGGAGCTTCCAGATATTGAAGATAGTATGTTCGAAGAAGAGTCTATTCGTTGGGAATACCAAGCAAGAGAAGTTGCCATTCAAACGATCAACGCCTTCTGTGAACGAAGCTACATAAACTCATATAATCTTCTTCGGCATTGGAACAAGTTCCCGATTGCACAAAAGGTATATGATCCATCATACCGCCCAATCACGCGTCCCAAAGCATTCGATAAAGTTGGAATGAAAAACGATGGAGGTACATGCTACATGAACGCAATGATTCAACAACTCGTCCATGTTCCGGGTCTTTGCAAAGATTTGATTTCGCTTCAGAATATTGACCCAACTTTGAAATGGGGAGACAACTCTGCGTAAGTTTTGAAATTTAATCACATCTGCTTTATGAGTTTTCGTTTTTTGCTTTATTCTAACCTACAGTATTTCAGTGCACTGCTCTATGAGTTACAAAGAGTTTTCGCTCAACTCAACTTCGCTCAGTCTCAAGCAATCGTTCCAATTGGTTTGTGGAGAGAGTTCCGATTCGAACCTGACATGCCACTCAATACTAAACAACACCACGATGCGATTGACTTCTACAGTATCCTGCTCGACAAATGCGATAATGTTCTGAAGAAGTTGGAGCTACCTCCATTGTTCCAGAACAGGTTTTTCGGAAAATACAGTTATGAAAAGATTTGCTATGGATGCTGGCATCGTTACAAGAGTCCGGATGAGGAGTTCAACTGTATCTCGTTGGCGCTCAGTGGAGACAATCTCGGAGAGGCCCTAGAAAACTTTTTGGCGCCTCATGTAATGGAAGGGGAAAATGCGTATCATTGTGAGAAGTGTAATGAGAAGAAGACCACTTTGAATAGATCATCATTCCTCGAGCTGCCAAGTACAATGACCATTCAGTTGAAGAGATTCACATATGACCTTGTGAACAATATGATCAGGAAGGACAACCAGTTCTTCAGTTTTCCATTCGAAATCGATATGACACCATATATGACAACTTCTAGACATGTTCCAGACGAACACGTGCAAGATCTATTCGATGAGATGCTCTATGGAAACGGTGAGAATGATGAGCCAGCTTCTCCGCAACCGAACAAAGGAGCAACTGAAAAGTGCAATCTTGGCTCTGGCTCCGCAAGTACGCCTTCGCTCGAGTCCCAACAGAAAAAGTTATTCCGTCGTCATCGATCTTCCACTATGCGTCTGTCTCAATCTTTCGCCAACACGACAGGATTCGATACACCAACGCAACAACAACCTATGATCTATGAACTGGTTGGTGTTTTGGCTCATTCTGGAATAGCAACCGCGGGACATTACTACTCGTTCATCAAAGAGCGTCGAGATGAATACAAAGATTCGCCAACGTACGGAAAGTGGTATCAATTAAACGACTTGAGTGTATCTCCAATGCATCATAACAACATCGAAGATATTTGGTACGGAGGAACGTTCACACAGGAAGGTGTATTTATTGGTCTCGATGAGCGGATAAGACACTGGAACGCGTATGTTTTGTTCTATGAGAAGAAACAAGATAGACCGAGCTTAGCAATTCCTCGTCACATAATTGATAATCAAGCCGATGTAAAACCCAAAGTCACATTCGATGTTACTGATGAGCAAATGGATGATGGAGAGGATCGAGTGAAAGAAGCGGAGGAGGCACATGAAGTGGAGATGACAGAAGCGAGAAGGTTGCGTATTCGCATGTTCAATTCTCTCGATCCAGCCCTGAAGAAGTTTTTGAACGATGACTATTGCAAATTCCTCGAAGATCGCGACTTTTTCTCCTTCGATTTGTATCATATCTATATCAACTCGTTGCTTCCATTGATGAGAAGGGAGGAAACGGTGGAATATAATGTCACCGAAATCGGAAGACCAGAGTTCTTCAAGCTTGCGTTCGAACACACCGCGTCCTACATCATTCGTGTCGCATGGATGATGTTCGATGATATCAGACCCAAAACTTTCCCACGTTCAGCTACTGAACTGATAAAGTCTCTTCTTGTTCGTCACCCAGACAACAAGTTATTCTTTTTCCGGTCATTGGAAGCGAATAATTCGGAAATGCTGAATAGGTTGGTAGAAACAACTGAACATGATATTCGGATTTCATTTTGGCAATGCATGAGAGTTGCTCTACGTTTGTGGGTGATCGAAAACGGAAACAAGGACGAAAACATCATGGAACCAAGCCCTGATTCTACTGATATAGATGAAGAAGAGGAAGATGAAGACGAGGATGATGACGATGACGACTTGGAAGATGAGGACTCAGAAACGGAGGAGATGATGCGACCGGACCTAATGCGCCCTAACCCAATGGCAATCGTCAATCAGTTGGTAATGAATCAAGCACGGCCACCGCAATTGAAACCCATGTTACCTGTCGATCTATCGAAGGCACGTAACCAACGTGTGAGTGTGATTGACCCAATCCATTTCATAAACAGTAATTTCCAGCTGAACATCGTCAAGAGGATTGTGCAAGTTTTACCGTAAGTTTCTAATATGACAGTCTACTCATCGGCGAAATTGTCAGTTTCAGCTTCCGTATTCATCGTATGGAGGGCTCTGGCCGGCATTATTCAAGAAGCTTGGTAGATATTTTATACATGATCTCAAGGCTCAATGATTTTGGAAGAAATGTTCTTCAACTTTGTCAAGCTCTGCCCATTGTTGCGGAGTTTCTCTGGGAAGATTATTCAACGGTTTGTGTAACCATTGTATTATCGAATATGATCTTTGATTTTCAGGTTTTCTGTCGACTCCGGTTCTCGGAAGATCGTTTGAAGGGCGTTGGACTTTGGCCAATATTGCCTGGGCTCTACTTCGAGCTCCTTCTCGATACAATGAACAAAAGCTTGCAACATATTATTGATCCTCATATGCATTTCCGGCATGCTGTGTAAGTACTAAATCAGATGTAGCCTCTCACTGTCTTTATAGTTCTTCCAGTATGACAACTCAAGGAAAGTTTGTGAATGAAACACTTGTTCTTTATTGCGCTTCTCGGGAAGAATATGAAACGACGGAAGGGAAATCAGTGAACGACGAGAAGGCTTTGCACAACCGAATTCTACTCTGCTATGTTCGCCAAATTCAGCTAATTGCGAGATCGGAGCAGCCGGAAGCAGTGTGCGATTACATTTTCAATGTTTGCCAGATTCTTCTGAAGGCATTCTTAAAAGAATATATGTACATGTTCACAAGTGTCGAGCATTGGAGTCATGTTGTTGAATTCTTTGCTGATGTAAGTCAATGCAAGTGAATATTCTTTGAAAGTAGTTTTTGCAGCTTGCTTTGCGTTTAGCTTGTGCGGATCTTGCACCGTACGGAATCGAGGTTCTGAAAAACTTTTTATGGCTTGGAGTTGCTGAGGATGACGATGCGGTTCAGCATGGCGTTGTCCCATTGATGGCTAAATGGCAAGATGAAGATCCTCATAAGTACCGCAAAATGAAGGAAGCTCTTTTTAACATTCGACTTATAAAGCACACTGGGTAAGCTTCAAATCATCCTGATTAGTAGCTGATAATAAAATGATATATTCTCAGATTACGTCCTTTCCTAGACGAAGTTATAAGACGATACCCCAACGTTATTGACTCGGACGGCTTTCAAAGATCTTCAAGTGACGAACCAATGGACGAAGACCAAGATATAATCGGACCAAAGTTGCTGAAACAAAGACCTAAAAACTCGGCTTCTTCGAATACGTGAGTTAATGAATCTCATTCTACCCTCACAACTAAATGAGGTTCCCAATAGAACGTTATCAATTCAAGTATATAATTCAGAGAGGAAAAAACAGACGCGGTAGCAACAGCGAGAGTCACCGAAACAAAAGAAATTAATCTTGAAGAGGATTTGAAAAATGACGAGCAAGCACCAACGCTCTTGATTGAACAGCCTTCATTAGAAGAAGTTATTGATGTAGATTCTGCTGAAGAAGAAAATTTCAATAACGTGACGATGGAAGATCTTACAAATGGAGGACACGAGAACTGACTCCATCATGAACGTTTTGCTTCTGATCATCCTTTTTTTTCACTACTCCCCTTCAGATATTTCACCCGTTTCTCATATATTTCGTGTTTTAGATCTCAAAACAGCGTTTCATCATTCCTGTTGTCTTTTCTTTTGACCCATATTATCTCAATTTCATTTGTTTCGTGGAGTCCGTCTAGCGGATGGAATGACATATTGTAAATATTCATATCGATAAAACCGTTTTATAAACCTATCCATCACTCCATTAATTTTATCCACTTTCCCTAAGTTTTCCCCAATTATTCAGAGTTCTATTCAATGTCTTATTCTCATTGTGTCGTACACACATTCATTTCCCTACATAGTTTTTTCCACGTCGCATTGTTCTGTTTACATAGGGCACATCAGATTGCACGCATGCTGTAGACCTAATGAACAACCCACATTTTATCGACCCGCAAAATGTATGTAATTCTAGTTTCCTGTAATATCCTAAAAACCGGCTTCACCGCTGGCTCTAGCCCGATGTCCAGATTCATCCACCGATAGTTTCGATGTCATTCATTTTCTCCCATGTCCCATATATACTTTTTTGTTGTTTTCTTCCATAATTTATTTGCCATCTCTAACCATAATTTTTTTTTCTTAAATTCTGTACCCTCTATCGTCACCATCATTCCTGTCATCACCGAGTTTTCAAAACTTCTCTCTCACTCACGAAACTAAGTGTTAACTTATTTTTTGCTTTTTTTCGTTAATATTTGTGTGTCCCACTCTTTGCCCATACGTTTGTCCCTGGCCTTTTTCTTAGCCATCAAACCCGGCCGGGATGCCTCCAATCGTTCTCTCTTTCACTGACTTTATATTTCCTTGGATATTCAAATGAACTGTATTTATTCGCTATTGTTAAATTTGCCATCATTTCCATCAAAAATAGCTTCGGTCAATATACCACCAGTACTTGTAATCTTGACGTGTTTTCTCGCAGTTTCAAGGTGGTAAGAATGCAGTTTGTTATTTTTTAGCACTAATTTTAAATTTGACAATTTTTATCACTCCAAAAAGAGACAGTCTTACTGTACTTCTTTGAGAATTGAACATGAGAAGAACACAATAATTTCTTGCAGATGCTAGATGTAGCGGGGATCTGTGTGGCAGCGGTTAGAGCCGTTTATTGGTTGGTGATGCTCGTTTGTAACTTCCTCGGTTATTCTCCGCTATGGGCACAGATTGCCATGAAGAATAGAAAGATGGAAAACGTTAAAATCCGAATACCAGCTCATTTAGCTGTTTGTTTCACTGAAAGTAGACTGATCGATTTGGTTGGTAGACGGGAAGGAATTGAGTAACCATTTCAAACTATTTCCAGACAGAAGTTATACAAATCATGGATAGTTGTGTAGCAGCTGGAATCAGGCAACTGTCCCTATATGACCCATTTGGCGAACTAGTATCTCAAATCGGACAAATAGAGCAAGCCTGTCGTCTATTTACGGTGAGACATCAAATAGAAAAATAGAAATGCAAGTTTTCAGCGTGCCGATCTTTTCTGTGATGGTAAACGGTTGCACTCCAGTGGTCTCACCAATTTACAAGTGAACGTTTTGTCGAGAAAGATGGGAAAGAGTGCACTTGTAGAAGCATGCAAAATGGTAGGTTGCTAAATAAAACTCGCTCACAAGCAGTGTGTCCTTTCGAAACGACTTCGAGGAATTCCTCGAGGAATTTTTCGAGAAATTTTTCGAAAAATTTCCGAAGAATTTTTCGAGACGATTTCATTTTGAACACTACTAATGCCGCCACCCTTTCGTCACATATGAGTTACTTGGTGTCCTGTGGTGGAAGCCACCTCGGCAGATTTTTTGGAGGTTCTTACACGGCTTAATTTTGAAAAGCTTGCTCGGCAGTTAGGCGTATTATACGTAGAATCATGAGAGGAATCGAATGGTATCGGTTGCCGAGCAAGAAAACTAACACAGAAAAAGTTATTTTTGGAGCAGAAAAAACCATACTTGCTAAATCCCGGCCCAGCCCGAGCCCGGGCTGACCCGCCGATCCAGAGACCGAAAACTTCAAAATTTTTCTGTTGAGTTTTGATATACTTTTGTCAAATCATTTTAAAACCCGCCTACTATATGTGCTAAAGTGGCTTTCATTGTGTTAAGCTTAAAGAGAGCGTTCGAATGGTGGAAAGATGAACTTTCTAGCATAAAAATGAACCAAGTTGAGACCCCGCAAATTCCGGGGAAAGAAAAAATCGGGGAAAAAAACCGGGGAAAGTGGGCGGAGTCGAGAAAAACCGTGCCAGGGTTGCAATTTAGGCTCCGCCCCCTCATGACCGTGTCCAAATGTGCAGAAAAACCGTGCGGCAAAACCGTGCCAGGGTTGCATTTTAGGCTCCTCAAGGAATTTCTCGAAAAAAATTTCTCGACAAAATTTTTTCGAGGAATTCCTCGAGGAATATTTTTCGAGAAATTTTTTTCGAGAAATTTTTGTCGAAAATTCCTCGAAAATTTCTCGAAAAAGGCATTTCTCGAGAAATTTTTTTCGAAAAGACACACTGCTCACAAGAGCATTTTATGTTTCCAGCTATGCCGTGAAGAGGACGAAATAACAGTAGATCGGGTCTCGAAAACATTAGAAGACAAATTCCACCTTAGTGATCCAGATTTTCTACTTCAAGTTGGCAACGTTCCAACGCTCTGCGGGTATCCTCCATGGAATCTTCGAATCACTGAATTCCTCCAGACGCCACGTCTTCCATGCTCGCGGAGAGCACTCGACTGTTGTGTGGAAGCCTTCAGCCAAAGAGATATTCGCGTTGGAAAGTAACATCAGTCACACCCATCTCACTTGCCTTCTCCTTCTATTATCTTCATTTCAACCTTGTCTATTATAGTTTTCGATGTCGACTGTTTTAATCTAGTTAATAGTTTCTCTTCCCACCTTATATTCATTATTTTTGTTTTGGTCCACTAGCTTTAACTTGTCGTTAAGTTTTCCTTTTTACGTTTTTCATGTTCCTCTTTCTCTTGTCCCAGTTATTTTTTGCGTTGTTGCGACATATCTTCTGTGATATTCGATGTTCGAATCAACATGTGATTATTATATATCTTTATACATATATATATATTTTGGTATTTGAATGAAATTCGATTTTTGCCAATTTTGATATTCTTACAACCAAAGTGCGCATCAGCTTGTCTACTATTTCTGAATTCATAAGTTTCGACCCCAGAGTAAACTGAAATCTCGAATTTCCATCCCGCGCGAAAAGCACCCAAAGCTCAAAACCTTCTCTTCTCGCTCTTCTTCCTGTTCTCCCGATTGGGTATTGTCTCTTATCAACCACTTAGTTCCGTCCTAATCGTCCAAATATTGATCCCCTCGCTCGTGTTTCCTTCATTTCTTTATTTGTCGTCTGTTTTGTCTTCACTCCGGTCTCTTTTCCACCCATTTTTTTATGTTTCGCTTCTCTTTATCACATGAAATGGGTCCAATCTCTATTTTTAAATAGTGCGGCTAATATTCGGGGATACATTTCATCTGTATTTATGATGACAAATATGAGAAAATTCGTCATTTCGTCGAGAACAAAAATGCTGACAAATATTGAGAAGCCAGTGTGAGACGAAGAGACGCAGGCATCGAGAGACATTACATAAATTGAAGAAGCTTGTAGGAAAGGGTGCAGAGTTACCATGGGAGAAAGGAGCACGTTTTGGCAAAAGCACACTTTTATCCACAGCCATTTTCCGAAATAATGTCTTTTCGCAGATCAGGGTTTGCAAAATTTTGAGATTTTTATGACCAATATCCTACTGGTCACAGTTATTTGTGTCTTGAGTCTCTCATTGTGAGCTTATTGGGACCTGTTCTTCTGTTTCGAAATATTCAAACCAACATCAATTTTAACCATTCATTTCATCGAAAAATTCGGCGGATTCTAGTTGCTTTCTCATTTTTCCAAGAACATCTGGGAGCATACTTGTAAAATTCCGGGCCGGCCCGGAAGGCCCGGTGTCAAAAATTCTGTATTTTTGAGCTCTCAATATAATTTTTTCCATTTTTTTTCGTATTTCGGATTGTTTGTCTGTCTGACCAAAAAAGATCGAAGGGCCTCCGAAATTCCGGAAAAAGCCCGGCCCGGCCCGTTACAAGTATGTCTGGGAGGGTCCTTTTAATAGAGGGGTACCTCTATTAAAGGTGCCCTTCTACAGGTTTTTACGGTATCTGAATAGTTCGGTCTGTATTTCCTACTGTAACTCATATTCATTGAGATTACTACTTCTAATGATGAATTCAAATAAAAAAAATAAATTCTATCAAATCGCGACCAAACTCTAATGAATCAAAATACATTTTTGTGTTCCCACTTTCGATATTTAATTTCAAAAAATCAGGTCTTATCATCATTCTCGGTCTTTTTTATAACAATTTAAGCTGTTTCCTGTCACTAAGACAGCAAATCTCCAATACCATCTTCTTCAGTATTTCTTTTTCCTTGAAGGTGTGCCATTCACATAAAATAAAACTGACGTAACTTTGTCTCTCGATATCTCATTTTCTTGCAATTTCTCCTTGTTTTTGCAGAATGGGTCTTCTAACAAAAGGTAGTCCGTTGACTTGGGCGGAAACGATTCAACACATTGATTATATAAAGGTACGATTTAAAAAATCTGAAAAGTTTCATCGAACTTTTCTATCAGGAGCATGGAATCAAACAGTTTATCAATCTTTATCACCGTTTGAAATCGAGACATGGTGACCAGTTGAAATGGGGAGATGAAATCGAATACACAATTATCAAGTTTGATCATGAAAACAAGAAAGTTCGAGTTTCATGCCGTGCTGAAGAGTTGTTGAATCGACTACAAGCCGAGGAGCAAATGAATGCAATGCTTGGTACTGCGAATAAGTTCCTCTGGAGGCCTGAATTTGGAGCATACATGATTGAAGGCACCCCTGGAATGCCATACGGAGGTACGTGCACACTTAGAATTGGTCTCACTCGTTTCGTTACACGAAAAACATAAAACAGATTGTAAATGGATCGTTTTAGGACTGATCGCGTGCTTTAACATCGTAGAGGCAAACATGAAATTGCGCAGAGAGGTTGTCAAAAAGCTATTGAAGAAGGTGAGATAAAACGGAAAGATTGCGGTTTACAAAAAGTTAATTACAGGACGAAACTTGCCTATCTATCTCTTTCCCATCTCTCGGAGTTCCTGGATTCACTTTCCCTGAAGTGCCTGCTGATAGAGGCAACGCTGATGCGGCTAATAGTATCTTCTGGCCAGAACAAGCTGTGTTTCTGGGTCATCCTAGATTCAAGAATCTCACAAAGAACATTAAGGGTCGTCGAGGAAGTAAAGTAGCAATAAATGTACCAATATTCAAGGATAAGAACACTCCAAGACCTTACGTGGAAGATCTTACAGCTTTTGGAGGGCCAGATGACACTCGTGACGCAAAACCCGACCACATTTACATGGATCATATGGGTTTTGGAATGGGATGTTGTTGTCTTCAAGTCACTTTTCAAGCAGTTAATGTCGATGAAGCTAGATGGCTTTACGATCAACTGACACCAATCACACCAATTCTATTAGCACTGTCAGCTGCAACTCCAATCTTCCGTGGAAAACTTTCAAATGTGGATTCTAGATGGGATATTATTTCCGCAAGTGTTGATGATCGTACTCGTGAAGAAAGAGGCCTTGAGCCATTGAAAAATTCAAAATGGGTCATTGATAAAAGTGTAAGTCAGAATACATAATTTCTCATAATTTTTTTATCCTTCAGCGATACGATTCCACGGATTGCTATATTTATCCTTGCTCGGTTGGCTACAACGACATTCCACTTCAGTACGATGAAAAAATTTATCAACAATTGATTGACGGAAATATCGATGAACCATTGGCAAAACACATTGCTCACATGTTCATTCGAGACCCGCATCAAGTTTTCCGCGAGAGAATAGAACAGGACGATGAGAAGAGCAGCGAGCATTTCGAAACGATTCAATCTTCGAACTGGATGAATATGCGATTCAAACCACCACCACCAGATGCACCGGAAATTGGATGGAGAGTTGAATTCCGTCCAACCGAAGTTCAATTGACCGATTTTGAAAATGCCGCATATTGTTGCTTCGTCGTACTGCTCACCAGAATGATAATTTCTTTCCGGTTGACCTATTTGATGCCGATATCCATGGTTACTGAAAATATGAAAAGAGCTCAACAGAAGGATGCCGTTCTTAGTCAGAAGTTCCTTTTCAGAAAAGGACTTGCTGAGTGCAAATCTGCTCCAGAGAACCTGAAAGGATCTGAGAAGTGTGGACCACCAAGTCAGGATATTGAAGAAATGTCGATTGATGAAATCATGAATGGAAAGAAAAATGGCTTCCCCGGACTCATCTCGCTGATCCGTCAGTTCTTGGATTCTGCTGATGTGGATGTAGATACCAGATGCACAATTTCTCAATACCTTAATTTTATTTCGGTTGGTTCTATTTAGTTGTTGACAAAGTCTTATCATTATTTTCTTTCAGAAAAGAGCAACTGGAGAAATCAGTACTTTGGCTCACTGGACTCGAGAATTTGTTCAATCTCACCCGGCTTACAAACATGATAGTGATGTTAACGACACCATTGTTTACGATCTTATGAAGAAGGTTTGAAACTGCAGTAACCTGGTTCGAAACTATCAAGCTACTTTTCAGATGGACGCCATCTCAAGTGGTGAAGATCACTGCGACAAACTCCTCGGATGCTATCGTTCTAAAACTGATCATGCGATCTCTGCAGCTGTTCGGAAAGCAGAAGAACACATGATTGTATCTAGCCAGAAGCGTGCTCACTAGGCGATAATTGTCTATCTGTGATTTAATTTATTCTTCGAGCCATGTTCTTGTTTCATTCCTATTTAGGCCGACCATACAAAACTTTTGTTTCGGTAATACTTTTTTTTCGAATCTAGAAAATTCGAATGTTTTTTGTTAGTAGCTGTTTCTCTTCTTTTCAAATATCCCAGCTATTCAAAACTGAGAATTTTACTGAAACAAATAAACTTTTTTTCCCTAAAATCTTTCACAACTACCGTAAAACCTGTATTAGAAGGGCCCGTTTAATAGAAGGGATCCCCTAATAGAAGAGCCTAATAGAATAGAATAGAGAGATAGATAGAGATAATAGAGATAGATAGAAAATGTGTTGTTTGAAGTTAAAAATTTCCGTAAATTTTCAGTGAAAAACATTCCAGAAATTCCACAATTTTAAAGAAATTGGCTGAAACACTTTTTTGCTCAAAAACTGGCTTAGTTATTGTTTAAATTGACAGATTTTATTGAATTTTGAACGGGAATTCCAATATTTTTTAAATGAAATTTTTGAAAAAAATGACCGGAAAAAAACAGAAGATTCCCTCTAATTGAAGGACTCTATAATAGAAGAGCCCTCCGGAGGTAGTTTGGAACAAAAGAAGGGCCGGATCTTCTAATACTGGTTTACTATGTTAAAATCGATTTGATATTTGCATTTTTGTAGTCTGAAGACAAGATGAAGTTCGTTGCGATGAAGCATTATGATGAACTGAAAACTAGAGAAAATAGACGGACGACTTCTTACCAAGAACAAAAGAAATTAAAAAGCGGAGGTCACACTTATTGCGCGACAATGCTTTTATTAGGGCAGAAGCTTCATGCCTCATTCAGTCACTTCTGTCCGCTCACGGACAACAGCTTTCATCTCCTACCACCATTTTCTGATGCAATCCTCCTTCTCTTCATTCACTTTTTCATTTGCTTTTTGCTTAGAAAGAAAAACGAACACTTTTGGTTTCCTTTCACACATCCTCTGCGATTTCCCTTTCCTATACATGTCATCTTGATGGATTACAATTATCCTGAATCTTTTAAGACAGTGTTGGCTTTATCATTATTAGTTTCTGAACTCTATGGAATCTTCTAGAATCCAAGTGTTCACATTTCCTGTTCCCTATTAGTTCTCAGAATCAAATACATTAGCAAGATGATGACAAAACTTTCGATGACTCGAGTCAGACAGAATCTTTCCAACTTTTTCCTTTTTCTTCTTTTTTACATTCTAGTTTCTTTTTTACATTCTAGTTTTTTTTAAAAATTTAATTCAAAAGGAACACTGAAAAGTTGATTATATGATTTTCCAAGAAAAAAATACTGTCTTTTCTTTAATAGAAGCCAAACTTTGAGCTCAATTATCTCGATTCCTGTAAAAGATATGGAAAATGTGTCCACTGATAAAATTTTGGTGATATTATGATAAACAATTTATTAGTTGAACAATTTTTTGATATCTTTGACAGGAATCTAGATAATTGAGCTCAAAGTTGACGGCTTGGTCTATGAGAGGAAATACGGTATTTCACTTTTTTTGAAAATTTGTCCTATTCTCAGTCTCAACACTTCTTTCTTGCTCTTCTCAGAATGTTCGATGATTTTCCTCCCACTGTCTAATATTTTTCTGAAGTTACACGGGTTCAGGTATCACTCGACAATTGCTCATTTGTTCTAGACACCATTTGAATGAAATATTAATTTAAAAATGTTTCTTTCTTATGATCAGAAGTTGGATATCTTGGGAAGACGCCCTTCTGTATTCATCATTTTTAACAGTAGTACTTTTTCGTTAAATTTGGAATCTCAGTAGACTAATGAGTTTAGGAGTCATTTCTAAATTCACAAACTGGTTTCAGGTTTTTAAACGAATCAAAACTATCTTCCTTATAGTAGATCCCCTTAACTTTTAACTTTGATTCAATTTTTCCTGGTTCCTGTGAAAGATATCGAATAGTTGTTCACTGATGAATTATTTACCACAGAATTGAAAATGTTTTGCCAGTTGACGCATTTTTGATATCTTTTATAGGAACAGAGATAAGTGAGCTCAAACTTGACCGTAAGCGAGCTCTGTTACACTCGTCTGTCAGTCCCGGTGTCAGTTTTTCAACTTTTAAAAAGCTTATGAAAATGTTATGAGCGGAGTGACGAACAATTTGAGAAAATAGATTGAGTCGCGCCAAAGGTCCACTAGCCAGCTTTAAAGAAACTGCGAAGAGTTTTTTTCAACCAGAATATCCAACCATACAGTACCGGTCATTAAAATATACAAAAATATTTTTTATTGATTTCCGGCCATTTTGACTGACTTTGATTTGGAGGATGTTCCACAGACCTAGATTGAAAATTTTGCATTCAAAAAACTAGAAATTAAAAAAAATGCTGTGAATGCAAAGTTTTCCATCTAGGCCTGTTTTACACCATCCAAAATGTCCAAAATAATCGCGAACCTGACAGCTCCAGACTCCTGAAAATGGTCAAAATCAACTGGAAAACAAGGTTTTTATGCAAAGTAAAATTTATTAAAAATAACAAGTTTCAATAGTGTACTGATTAGCCAGACTTTCGTCTGTTGATCCCTTTCGCCACGTAGAAGCTCAGTACATGAAAGGGAAACAAGGTTTGTTTGCCAATGGGATCACCATCTAAAACCCATCGGAGGCGGGGGGAGGGGTCCCACACCTCCTAACAAAAAAACAACAATAAGTCAGCCGAAAAACCCCTCTTTTCGGAGACCATTGTTGGTTAATTTTCAAAAGCTCCTTCTCCCTGATAAGAAGACATTGCATACTGCTTTTCGTTATTGCCTCAATTTTTTAATCTTTGATAAAATCTCTTGCTACTGGGGGTCGTTCAATGATAAAACACCTAGCCATGAACCCCGGAACATGGCGACCCTTAGGGCCTTTTAGTACTTTTTCACATTTGACCAATCGACAGAAAAAAGCAAAAGAAACAACAACAACAAGTAGCGTAATGCAAAGAGCTTCTTACCAGGAAAAAGGGCTTGTGAAATTTATCCAACAATAAAGTTCAAAGAGTCTGATTTCACAGAGAACTGATTTTTTTTTGCAATACATTTCTTCAATGTGGACAGAACGGGGCATGACCTAGTATTGATCGATTTATTGATTTACTGCGTTACGTGAATGAACTTTTTTTTTTGAAAAGCTTGAATATAATTTGAAGATCAATTTGACGTGAGGAACGAACATAAAATTAAATAGGTTAAATCGCTCCGAAAGCGCTCCAGTCAGCTGTTGGAAGCGCTTGAGACTGGTATACCATAAAACCTGTAATAAAGGGCCTCTCGAATTTTAACTTTAGGTCAATTTATCTCCGTTCGTGTCAACAATATAAGAAAGTTGGCAACTGCTGAAGTGTTTGTGATGATAAAATGAACGATTTATTGGTTGACAACTTTTTTATATCTTGGACAGGTCGAAAGACCCTTCTATTACAGGTTTTATGGTAGTGAGGGTTTGGGAGGTTCCAGAGAATTATTTACCGAAAGTTTCATTGTTAGATTCACGAAATTTGTAAATTCTTTGAAAATTATCCTTTCACTATAGCTTCCGAACCTTGTCGATGATATCATTTCTACAAACACGGGTTCATTTCTTGTTTCTTATTTTATATTACTCACCGAATTTCCGTTCGAAGTGAATCATCTAGATTCTAGAACCTTCAATTGTTTCCTCAGAAAACTTTCAAAATTTGTCCCATTTTTAATAATTCAAAAATGTCCATACCAACGAATCCTTCAATCTGGGGTCCATACAATCTTCAGATATCATGGTCATTATAGCATTCAAATCATCTTAAATTCCTTATATGAAAGGAATCTGGAGATTCAACAATTTCCCATCATTACTGACTCATGTGATTTTTACAATCACCTATCATTAAAAAAATCGTCAAATCTCTCCTGGAAATCCGATATATCCAATTAATTAACCACTCATTTTTACTTGTTTTATATTCTTCCGCTGCTGTATGCGTGTGTGCTTCCGTCTATCCGTCAAACCTTCTTCCGACGTCTTCTTTTTTTCGCACGTGATTTATCTGCGTCGTCGTCCTCGCTTCCCCCGATGAATGCAAAAAGAAAGAAAAAAGAGGGTATCAGTGAGAATCAGCAAAGAGAAACGGCCAATGAAACTGCTGTCCACTTCATCGCGATTCTGCAAAGCGACGGTTTGAATTGACTATCAAAGGTACGAGCTTCCGATGGAAAAGGGGGGGGGGGGGGAACGCCGGAAGTGATGAAAGAAGAAGAAGAGGATAGCCATGATGCGGAGAGACAAGATTGATAGGGATGAGATTAGGTTGCAGAATGAGATGAATATGAAAAAGAGTGAACTTCTGAAGACGTTTCGTAATCTGGTTTCAAAAGGTCAACGTCGAAGAACGATTACAGTCTCAAGGTTCTTCAGACCCAGGTGTCGCATATACCGTGAAACCTTTAATAGAAGGGCTCCTGAACTTTCAAGTTAAAGCCATTTTATCTCGGTTCCTGTAAAAGATATAAAAAATTGTAAACTGATAAACTGTTTATCGTGATGTGATCAACGTTTCATCAGTTGACACATTGTTCATGTCATGCATAGGAGTCAAGATAAATTAGCTCAAAGTTGACAAGATGTGGTCTCTTCTTTTACAAGTTGTACGGCACAGCTCTATTATTAGGATTGCTGTAGGCTTGGAATTCTGATTATGCTAAAAAGGGAGCGTTGGATTATCTTCTCTGAAAAAGCATCCATCTGATTCCGGTTCTCGAAACCCTGAAGATCTGGAATAAGAATGAACATCAAAGCAAAAAATCAATCAGCCGTGAAAATAGCTTCTTAAGGTTCAATGAAAATAGCTTCTTAAAGGTGGGGGGACAGGAGATTTTACGGGGGATTTTTGGGGCCAGAGTATGCATTCTACCGTAACGGTGTACAACGCTTAATGTCACTCTGCGTACAGCTGTCGTCCTCGCCTTTATGTATGCAATGGAGCGGACGCTTTCCCGGGATTTCGAGAAATTTATTTTTTTTATGTCCCCCCACCTTTAAGGTTCCACAACGACATCTACCGTATTTTCATTTTCAGGATTTATTTTTTCGATCTTCGTGCGTTTTCAGTCAATTTTTCTTCTGTAAAAATTTTTTTTGGCGACTTTTCTGAAGGAGAATAACAGAAAACCTGACCGAAACAGTAAAAAGCGAGAAAATGAATCTTGAAAGCAAATATATTTTTTGGTTTCGGTAGTCGTCGTTGTGGGACCTTTGGCCACTGCCACCGGGGTTTCTCTTCCACAGTTCCCATTGTTTTGAACCAGAAAAATTGAACTGTTCGGTTTTAGTTGTACTAGTCTCTGATAGACTTCGAATTTCTATTTACATCGAATCCAAAATATATGAAGTCCCCAAATTGCTCCCAATAATCTTCAAATATTCTTTTTGTTCTTTCCCACGACACGACCTTGATAAGAAGCATTAGTATGGGTGGGATCAAGTTGGAAAAAGAAAAGTGTCCTATGTCCATTTATCTGCCTTCTCGTAAAACTTGGCGCCAGTCGGACGGCCAGAGGACAAAGACTACTGTCCGGATGACTGATGAAGAATATAGGGGATTTATAGAGGAAGATATCAAATACAAACAAAACTTTTCTAAACCGTAAATCCTTATCTTCTATATCTTCTATTTCTCATGCCTTCTGTTATTTTATGACTTCTTCTCTCTATCTTTTTCTCTTTTCTCTCACTTCTTCTTTTTTATCAATTCTTCTTCTTATTCGGATTTTCAAAAGTTGCACGGACATTGTTAGTCTTTATGACCCATGTCAGGTTTAGTCTTTGTTCTCTGTTATCACTATTTATCCTAATTTATTGAATCTGTTTTTGGTTTTCCAAGAGCTACAGTAGTATAGGTCTTTAATTCCTCTGTCCTTGTTTGAAATGTTTCATTGATGTTCAAAACACGGAAAAATTCACTAATTCAAATTTAGTTGTTCTTCTGATAAGATTTCGTCGTTTCGAAAGTTGCCATCTTTCCCTAGTTTCCATTGTAAAAACTTACAAAACCATTTCCTTTTCTCCCTTCCTCTTTTCTTCTTTTTCATGTCGAATGACCTACTAAAACATTATTTCATTGGCCATTCTCTTCTCTTCTTTTCTCTCTGTAAAATAGAAAAAAGTACATAAACTGCTAGACAGAATACACCTCAACTTCCATTTCTTTCTCTCACTTTTTAATGCATTTATCTCTGGATGCCATGTTCCACATCACCTACTTTTCTGTTCTAAAAATGCCCTTTTTCTCTTTTTTTTCGATGTTTTTGATCCCAGATTCTTGGTGCCTGACTGTCTTCTTCGATATTTCTTTTTTTTTGCTGGCGTTGATACCTTGTCTTGCTAATCGAATCATAGTTTTCAAACTGAATCCTCGTTCGAGAGAAGATCGTTGATTAATACAATGAAACCCATATTTCCTACGTCAAGATTCTGAAACACATCGTCGTATCAATCCTCTAAACTCGTGGTCATTCTTCATAAACGTCTTCTTTTTTCTCTTCTAATTCTACTAATACTTCTCCTTCTTCTTCTTCTTCTTCTTCTTCTTCTTCTTCTTCTTCTTTTTCTTTTTCTATGTCTTCCATTCATTTTTGCGTTCTTTTCTGCCAATCTATCATCATCGCCCCACACTGGCTGATTACAATCGAATTTCCGACGGATGGACACTCCTTTCCCCATCTACTGTCTCTCCTTATCCCTCATTCGTGGTTTTGTCAAGTCCACAAACCCATTTTTCTTTTTCTGAAAAAAAACGTTTTATGGGATTGATACTGTAGAAAGATGAAGAAGAAGATGATGATGATGGGATGAGTGAGAGATAACGATATTCGTGATACAGGATACATCATTAATTCTGTGAATTATTACCTCATTAAGATAAGACGAATTAATGGGTTTCGCCTTCCACTGTTTGTTTCAACATTTTCTGTAGGAAAAAAATCGGTTTAGAGGAAGAGGAAATCGTCAAATCATTCGCTCTCTTTTTCTCTAATACTTACCGTAATCCTTTTGAGTGATAACAGAAAATAGTCATGGAAACCATTACTTTTATGTCTTTCAAGAGAAGAACTTTGGACACTCTTCTACAGTACCTTGGAACTGCTACGCCGATAGAAGATTTTTTTCTTTATCGAAGTCTTCCTGAGCTATTTATGTTTTAGTCTACTTGTAAAGGAAAATTAAACGAAGCAACACTGTATTCGAGATTTCGTCAAGGCGAACTGTCGTTTTTGAAAAGCCAGGAGCCGAAATGAGTTTCGTCCAAGTTGTGGTATGGTACCTGGAATTGGGATAAGAAATACTTGATCATTGTAATTCGAAACAAAAATTGAAAAATCCTTTTATATATGAAATTAGAGCAGTTTTAGAAAAATGGGGTTTTCAGATTCTTCTTCAGGGGGTACAAGTTAAACATGTCTCATTTATTAGAACATTTTCAATTTCGACTTCTCCCTGACTATAAGATGTCCAGATATATATATATATATATATAGACATATATTTTTTTTAATATTTGACATCAATTTTCATTAATTATTTTGTTGATAATTTAATTGGCTTAGCAATCGTGATGTTTAGTTAAGTATTGGCACCCACAGCTGAGTAAGTCCTCGACTTGCATACCGTAAACACTCGAGTTGAACGCTGGTCCAAAAATATGATTTAGTTTCCCAAAAATTCAAACATGATTCTCAGTTTTTCTGAATTTCATGAAATCTTTCCCTACAAAAAATTTCAAACTGTCAACATACAAACGTTACAAATTTGGCGATTGTTGATATTAATGATCAAAAACTCCCTTTATCAGAGAAAACAGATTCAATTCCCACTTGAAATGCAGTCACCTTATAATTTCGTTCATTAGAAAACCATAATCTTATCTTCGTTCGTAGATTCTATCTTTTTCAGTCAACGAAATTCTTAAACAACCAAGATACTCATTTTTCTCTCATGTGATGGGGTTAGCTAAAGTTATCACCGGAAAGTAAAAGTTGAACGGTTTGTAGGAAAAAAAGTAAAAGTTGAGCGGTTTGTAAGAAAAATGGTAAATATATATTGACAAACTTTTCAAGAAGAACTATCTAGAAGATAAGATCGTAAGGAAAACTAGATCCCGGGTAGATGTGTAAGGCTCTAAAACACATTGAAGGTGGAACCTAGATCTGAACGTTTATCGTCATTTAATCCCATTCAAGATATCTTTTCATTGTCAGTTTGAACTTATATCATCACACTCCTTTCTCTCTGAAACTCTTTATTCTTGAGTGATCTTTGTAGTCGACTGACCCATACCGGTTTGTTCCGGGGGGACGAAACAGATACGTATTCACTCCGCCCATTGTCCGTCCCTTGTCCGGCGGGTCTACCATTCTCAGTCTTCTTCTACCATTTGGGCCCCAAAGCCTCCTCACCTAGTTTTCTCTTTTTTTCCCGCCCCAATTGTCCAGCTCCTCCCCCTTTTCACCTTCTTATCATATTGGTCATGACAACTGAGGAGGAATAAACGGCGGAGAAAAAAAGAAGAAGGCATCAGAAGTAACGGACAAAACAAAAGACAATTGAACAATTACAATTACATGGTATGTTCATCTACCCGTACATCTTCTTCTTCTGCCCCATAGCTTCTTCTGCTTCTACTTCTCGTCGTCATTACATCAGAAGAAAAAGAAGAAGAAGAAGAAGCTGTGGGCGACTTGTGTAAATCAATCAGCAGGCGAATCGTGTCGTTTTTCTTGTACTATGTCGAACCGCCTCTCTCTCCTCACTTCTTCCACCTCTCAACTATTATCGTTATCTCTTCGCTTTTTTCCTTTTTTCTGCTTCAATCGATCCCTTACCATTGTCATCTTTTAAATTTCAGAACATGCCTTCCGAAATTTCAAGGATCTTGCTCTCATTGATCCTAGTGCTCGTTGCACTTCTGTCGAGTACGAATTCGGCTCCAGCTTTTTGTAGGGCGTGTAATAAGAACTGTTTTATGCCAGTCAACGGAACAGAAGAAGTCAACAGGTAAGAGATAGATTGAGGTGGCCTTGACAGTTTGACCTTGAGGTCATTAGGGTACAGGATTGGAAGCGAGAAGCTTATAGAAGCTGTAAACAATCTCTGTCATCTAGCTAGCATTAAGCTAGCGGAAAAAATGAATATGATCTAGTCTAGTGCAATATTTTGATTAAAAAGGGGGATTTTCGGAGTTTCTTTGGAGTTACGATATGCATTCTAACGTGACGGTGTACAATGCTTTTAGTCCCAGCTGGCTCAGTCGTTACTGTCAAGTTTTAGCTCAATTATCCCGGTTCCTATGGAAGATATCAAAAGTGTGCCGACTGATAAAATTTTTGTGATATTATCAAAAACAATTTATCTGTTAACAATTTTCTTATATCTTTTAGAGGGGCCGAGATGAATGGGCTCAAAGTTGAGCCGGGACCCTTCTATTACAGATTTGACGGTAATCCTAATTGGTCTACGATTTCTTTGCTGCATTAAGATAGTTCCACACATAATAATTATTCCGAGAGTTCTCTAAAACTCCTGAGCTCCCTGATTGTGAGCGAAGACCTTCCATTGCTCACGATGCTTCTAAACCTTCCTTCTGATCTCTTGACCTCCAAACTCTTATCACCCAGTCATTTTTCTTTCCGTCTCTATCGCAACCATTTCCGCTATGAATTTTACCACCGGAAACCCCCATAACGTCTTCTCGAGACGCAAAGGATTTAGGGGGTTTAGTTGTGAGATAAGCGATAAATGGGTTTTGCAGAAAAGTGACCTTTGCCAAAACAGGCTTTGATATCCGGTGTCTCTATGTAAAGTTGGAGGAGTTTGTGAATGGAAAATGATAACGAATTATCAACTTTTTTTGCTATGATAAAGGATGTAATTTATCTTCATTCGAGAATCTTCTATAGGAAGTCAGAATATTGACGCGCTAAGTTCTGGTAGACTTTTGACTAGACATCCAGACTTATAAAAAGTTTTTTCAAGTTAGATGACGTCACATTGATATCCAGATAAGTACAAATAGTACTCTGCTCATTCCCGATCTTTCTACTTCGTTCTCTAATCTAACCATCCCCACGTGACTCCGATCTTTTCATGTCTCACTTTTTGGGTACAGTCCCAATTTTGAAATCATTGAAATCAATTCAAAATAAATCACCTTATTGTGAGCGAGACGTGAAAAGAGACAAAATTTTGGGGTGACAGCGGGACGGTTGATTTACGAGCGAAACCCTTTAGCACTGAGAAACTTTAGGTGATATCGAGAGATAGAGAGAACGTTCTCGTCGTCTTATCAAAACTTTTGAAGAAGATTTCGCGCGATGCGCGTCGTCTCGTTTCCGAAGGGTCTCTGGCTTTTGGCCGATTTTGGGTGATTAAAATGATTGATAAGTTAATGGGATTTTTATGGGAATGATAATAACCAAAAACTTTTTAAAATCTGTTTTCTCATTTCAGCACAGCAATTGACGTTGATCTACTTCACGAAATCGAAATTGAAGACAATGCAGTCAGATCAGAAACAAAAAGGACGAAAAGAGAAGTGGAGTTCCGTGCTTGCTCTCGATTCCAGATTGAGATGCTTTTGATTCCATTGGCCATTGCTATGATCCCATTGGTCCTCTGTGCTCTCTTCGTTTGTACTTGCTGGTGTGGACCAAAAGAATCCCGGGGAAAACTGCCAGCTGAATTCCTAGCAGCTCTTCCGATGTCCAAGAAAAGGATTGCATCAGAAGAGATTGAGCTGGAATGGGGAGATGGATATGTGGCAAGAAAGGATTCTACGAAAACCAAATTCTCGACGACAGTTTCCTATATTGAGGCTAGAAGGGAGAGTATCTGGTCTATGGCTAGTGTTGCTAGTGATACGGTAAGACAAAAAAAATGAACAAATTGAGTAATATTTGGGTTTCAGGCTGCGGAAAACTTGAAACATGAATCAGCAAAATGCGAAGCTCAATTAGCGGCGTCTTTATCTTCGGCTCCAAAGCTCACGAAAGCGATATCCTGTGACTCCATCAAACGAACACGATTCTCCGATACAGTATCCGTGATTTCACTGGATAGCCGACGATGATTGTCCGAATCTTCTCAAATAGGTTTATTTCTAGAATCTATCCCATTTGTTACTTTACTATTGCTCTCCCACTGCCACGTCACATTCTAGTCATCCAATGTCATTTTGCTGGGTACATGTCGTCGTCAATGTATTGGATTTGTCTTTTGAAGACGAAGATGTTCGACACCTTCTCCATTTCTTTTGCTTCCTTCCTTTCCTTCCTTAGTTATCCACTTTCTGAGTTGCGGGTATCGCTGATATTTAGCGAAATCTGTCTAGGAGCCCCTTGGATTGTTCCCTTACCTTTTGGGAATCAAAGAACACTCTATGCTTTAATTTATCACCCGATGCCTTCTATTGTGCTGACGAGTCAAAAAACCGAACCATCGCCAACTTCCCCCCAATTGAATCTGTAAATATGTGAAGAACCAATAAAGTTATTTTCAATTAATTTTGTTTTGAGTATGTTTTGGATAATTGGATGTCCTAAAAGAAGAAAAAATGAACACTTAAAAAAACACTAGACCTTTTACTTAACCAAATCTGAATACATATATTACAATTACAAATCTTCTGTTAGATGGTTGTGGTGTGCACTGTACACTGTTCGTACTAAAATCTTGGAACCTTATGATCTGGGATGTTCGGAATGCCGAATATTCCAAGTTTCAAAATTTCAGAATTTCAGAATATTATGAAAAATCGGACCTGTGGAAGAGAAAAGCTTGTGGGCGTGGCCAACTGTTCCCGTAACGAAAACTACAGTAACCTAATATTTCTGGTCTTTTTTCTCGATAATTATTGTTTTTCGACAACTTTTTTGCTGAAAACCTCCAGAAAAGTCGGAAGTCTACATTTTTCTAAATCAAAGAAATAGCCGAAAAACGGACGAAAATCGAGAAAAAAAATATATCGAAGTAAAACATTTTTGCTAACTACGGTAATTAGGCCATGGTCGCGCAGAGTCAATTTTCTCTTCAACAGCTCCGATTGTTGAAAAAAAGCCTGATATTCCGATCGGAATTTGATTCCCAACAGAGCTTCATAGTTTTTGGAAAAAAAGTTTTTGGAAACCCAGCAGTATCATTTTTAGGAAGTTACAAGATTACTCATATTATGTGTCATAGACTGTATGCAAGCTCTCAATATGATTCATAAAGGTGTATCTGAAAACGATTTTGAGATTCCTTTTCTCAAACAATGTTTTCCCACTGTATGGTTCAAAAAACTTCCATTTTCTAATTCAAAAGTGCACATTTTTTATAAAACAAAACTTCCTCCCATCCAACAATCTCCCGACTTCACCAAACCACACTACTAATTATGCATCGGTTTATTTTCGTCCTTGAACATTCCGCCCCTCTCCGCCTTCTCCTTGTTCATGGAGCACCTTCGGCTCTCTACTCACACCGCCTCACATTATAACAGTGTCCTGTCAAGTGTGTACATACCCATACACACGGGGGACCAATTTGGCGGTCACTCTCACAGGTCAGAACCCCTTTTTATTCCTCTCATTAGAGACGGTCCGATTTCTCATTCTTCCGCATGTTTTCCTTCTCATTTATTTATCGTTTATCTAACGAAAGATAAAAAGTCATATCTAATCCGAGCTAAAAATCACTATTGCCAATCACGGGGGTGTGTCTTCACAGTTTTCCGGCGGTTTCGATCTTATCAAGTGTTTAAACTAATTAGATGGATTGTGTTGGGTATGGTATAGTATTAGGAGTGGCATGGTAACCCTGATTCTAATCGGCGATTTAGATTTGCAATCAGAATCAGGCAATTATCATTTTGAAAACTCGAAACTACAGTTTCAAATATTTTGACCGACTAATTAGAACTTACCGTAGTTTTCGTTATAAAAGCCAACCCAAAACGCCTTTGAACTCTTTTATCTCGATTTCTGTAAAAGATATCAAAAATTTGTCAACTGAAAAAATGTGGGTAAAGGTAATTTTACCAACAATATTTTATCAATTGACAGATTCTTGATATCTTTCACAAGAATCGAGATAATTGAGATCAAAATTAAGTGGGTTTCTATTAGAGAAAACACGATAGTGAAATAGTGAACATTTCGGGAATTCTAATATTTTTTGGATTGGACCTAGTGACTGAAAACTTTCATCCCGAAGCAGAGATTTCCTGAATTCTCTAAAAATTCTACTTTACAGATTTTGCCAGTTTTGATGAACGTTACTAAGAAACACAAACGCAAATTTCAGAAATTAAAATTCTTGAAATGGTATTTTTCAAGGAATTCCCCCTCAACCTTCTTTTGAAGATTCTGAAGACTGTTCCCAAGAAAATTGAATTTTCTTCCCTAGGTTTCCGCATTAACGCCCCCCCCCCCGCGTCCAATTTTTTATATTTCAAGTTCCCAGATTTCAATCTCCCATCTGTTTCCAACCCGATGACTTTTCAACAGTTTCCTCATTTTTTTTGTCTCATTTGCGTGCTTTTTGTTTTCCGCAACAACTCGTCGTGCGGCGAGAAACCCGACACCTCTCGCACAATCTTGGCCAATTAGTCGCGCGAATCGTCCATTTCTTTTTCCCGCGATCACCTCCTCCTCCCATCCCTGGATAGTGTGTTTTTTAATGGCGCCTTCTCATCCTTCTCATTCTTCATCTTTCCAACCAACATATTTGTTTTCTCCAACCTTCTCTCTCTCCCAAAAAGCACCGCCTTACAATGGAGATGGACTCCAAAAAAGGGGGCAACTAGTGAGGGAAATCTTCTCCGGAGGCTCGCGGAGCACTGCTTTACGATGCTCAGCAATCGCCAAACATTGCGGACAATACCCGAGTCGACTGGCCTCCCAGAGCAGTCCACTTTTGCCTGTCTTCTTCTTCATCTTCTTATGTGTTTGTCTGATTGTGTCTCTAATCCCTCGCAGCTCATTTGAGTGGGAATCTTCGCTCCCCATCCTTACCATCCAACTACTTTTCTGATTAAACCATTTTTTAAAATCCCATCTCAATTCATCTATTGTCTCAAGAGGCTCTCGTCATAAAAATTTGCGACTAACTGCCACTTGAATAGGCGCGCGTGGGGGAACTTGGACAGTAATCCGATACTCTTTTTTTTATTCGATTGTACGGATTTCATTCTCTTGTGACCTTTTCTGGATCTGAACCAGACTAGACAATTTTCGGAGTTTTCAGGAGATTGAAAACAAGATTTCTGTACTTTTAAATTTTATAGTTGGTCACTTTTAAAAAGCTGGAGGTACAGTACCTGTCAATAAGACTAACAATAACGTATGTTTCAGTTGATTTTTGGCAACTTTGACACGGAGGGTGTGAAACAGACATTTTTCAAAAAAAACTTTTTGGCCCTTTTTTGTACTGAAAATGTGATATTTTAGAAATCGGAAAACAGCTGAAAAATTAGGAATTTTCAAAAAAAATCTGCGAATGCAAAGTTTTTAATCTAGGAATATTTTACACCCTCTAAAAATTTCAAAGTGATCGGAATCTTGACAGTCGTGCTCCAGACTTCTGAAAATGGTCAAAATGTCCGAAAATCAACTGAAAATCCGTTTTTGTATGTTTTATTGAACTGTACTGTACATTAAAAAATCGTAATACATTGTTGTTTCATTAGTCGTCGTAATGTGTTGAACAAAAGTTCCTGATTCTTCTGAAGTCGTCGTCTTCCAGTCGTATTCTATCGTTTTTCTCAAGTGTCACTTTTTTTTTCAATGAATTGCCATCCGAATTCTTTCTGCTTCTTCTTCCTTTTCATCTGTATTCCGTGTCCGGTCCATTCACACATCATCCGTCGTCGCAAATCACGCGTGTCTTTCGTTTCCACTTGATGTCCTCCTCTGTATCCCGTCGATATTCCGAGTCGTCTCTCCAGAAGATCCCCTTCTTCCCAACCCACTAGATTCTGGAAATATATTTCCAAAAAAGGGTCAGTTCCGTTTTCCGTAGGGATGAGGCATTTGACATGACACACACCCATACAGTGGCTTCTTCCGATCACTCTTCAGAGCAACCGGTTTCAACGGAGAACCATGTGTGTGCCAATTTCCAAAAAGCTATGTTTATTTGTTTTGTCATTTTTGAAACTTTTTTCACGCGGGGAGGTTATTATGTGGGGATCATCCTGAAGTGTTTTCCGGAAGCATCAAGCTAGACAAATTTTTTAGAGAGTCGTTGATTTTTCATCTTTTGTAATAACTTTTTTTGAACCTCTTTGATCGATTTTATTTTGGAAGAGTCTGATTCTCACCATTAATTCTATCCTTAGTCATGGAGGATCCTGAAACCGAATTTTCGGAATTCCAATTTTTTCTTGTGACAACTTTCGATTAAAAAAATCTGGAAAAAAATATGTGAAAACTTATTCATATCAATCTCTCCCAGATTCTCCCAGAAAAGAAATACAAACTGCAAATTCATCTACCACAAAAAAAAATTTGGTACGAAGCATAATTTTAAATCTGGAGCGAAATTTCAGCATTTTTCATCTGATTTTGTAAGGATTCAAGATGATTCAAATGTGTTTTTGAAAAATTAAGAAGTGAACCAAGAATCCTGTATGTTCCTCTTTTCAATTCCAGACTTTAAAAGAATTTGTATAGCTCAGAAGAACCACAATAATTTTCTCTTCATTTTTTACATTAAAAAATTTCGAATTTGACACATCAATCTTTTTTTAGATATAAAAACCTCACGAACTCGCATTTTTATAAGTTGAACTACTTTTTAATAGTCCTTCCAAATTCAAAATCACAGAGACTATAGATCTAATTTGAAACTCTCCAGTTCAAACTCATCTTCCTAATAACATCTGTGGGAATCCTTTAATCTATTCCTCTTTGTAACCGTCGTCTTGCGATTTCCATCCTTCTGATAATGTCTTTCTTTATGTCAAAAACACCATCTGGAGGAAGACCTGGGGACTTCATAAGACGAAGCCGACACCTTTTTTCCCAAAACGAACGCCTAACAATTAGGTCATTCTGGAGAATCCAGTCTTCTTCCTCATCCTTTTTCCTTTCTTCCCCTGATTAGGTTGTGACCTGAATGAAAACGAAAACGGCAATCGTAATCCCTATTGTTTCATTTTCTTGTCTTCTCTCTTGTTTTCATGCGCGCTCAGCCGCTTGCTTCTGTTTGAACTTTTCCTAATCAATTTCAAATCAAGTTGCTCTTTTCTCTCATTCCCCCGTTCGTTCGTACCGAAATATGTGTTTGTATATTTATTTGTCTCTGTTCTATTTGAATATAGTGGACAGACTGGGGGAAATTGTATATAGATCGAGAGAAACGCAGACAATTCTCACAAACACTTTACGAGCACCGACCACCCACCTGAAGCCCAGGGAACAGAGACACAATAAGAATATGAAGAATACCATCACCATTCAAAACTTTTCTTACATTACCCAATAATCGGCTCTCTCTCTCTCTCTCTCTCTCTCTCTCTCTCTCTCTCTCTCGTTATTTTTCTCGCTCTGTACAGTTTTCTTTTTCCATAACTTCTTATTTTTTCTTTCCCATTTTCATGAACTCTTTCAGTTTTTGAATATAATTGAAACCCTTTAGAGAGGAATACCATAAAACCTGTAATAGAAGGGCCCACTAACTTTTCAATTTGAGCCAATTTATCTCAATTCCTGAAAAAGATATCAAAAATTTGTCAACTGATACGTTGTTTATCATGTTATCACAATTGTTTTGTCAATAGACACATTTTTGATATCTTGCATAGAGATTGAGATGATAAAGATCAAACTCTACAGCGTGGGGGCTCTTCAATCACAGATTTTACGGTTCGTTAACCTAGTCTTATCATTTCCTACGACAACTAAAAATTTCAGATCCTTTTCTAGAGATAGAATTTTGAGTGATTCCCATTTCACAATGTAGTTATTCATTTGATTCTAAAGAGCATCATGTTTGATTCTTCTCTCGATTGTATAAGTTTGACTAGTCAGAATCCTAAATTTGATATTTTGTAAAATCAGGTCTAATTTCGTACATTCTGGCATCATTTCGTTTCTTATTCGATTTCTCATCCCTTCTTCCTGAATGATAATAAACTCGGAACGTTTTTCTCTCTTTCTCTCTTCCTCTCCCACAAGTGCTCTTCTCAGAGAGAGCATCCCTTTGGTCAGTGTTTTCTTTATTTGATCCAGTCACTTTTTTCCTATTTCCCCTCCTCTCTATTACTTCCTTTCTCCCAGCTAATTTTATTGTTCTGTAATAGAACTCCAGTATTATAACCACTCTCACTGTATCCAATTTTAAATTACCTCTTCTCCTTCCTTTTTGGTTTCGTTCTCTTTCACTTACTGACTAATCGTTGCTTACCGTGTCCTCCATTCCCCCGACCTCCCTTCTTCTTTTACTCATCCTTCCAGATCCTTTCCATCTCAACCTGTTTCCCATGAAGCTTCCTAATTTCCAACACGTCAATATCAATTACCGTATTTCTCTCTTGTCCTGCTGCTGTTGCCATCAAAAACATAAACACATTTCAAGTCCACCCCCACTACTCTGATCCATAATAATCCCTTTTTCTTCTGGGGTGGTATTTGTCTTAAGAAAAGGAACTATAAACTATTCACTGTGTTTATGCTGCGTTCCTCTTGCCCCCTCTATTATTATAAACAATCAGAGGAAAAGACGATGACCGGCAAGATGTTCGTAAATCTTCACCCATTTCTTTTCGGGTCATTTTCTTCCAGACGGCACTGAGCCGCCCAGAAAGCATCTCGTTTCATTTTTCGATCATATTACTTTACAAAATATCAAATTTATGGTTCTCATAAAATTCTAATATCTGAGTATCAGTATCCGCTTATTGTAAGGATCATAATTAGGCAATCATTGGCTGGGAAATTGGAAGCTTGGTGGGATTCTGAAAACTTCCTACTCTTACAAGCTGTCAGATCATTCAAACATTCTGATCTTAGTTGCTAATTAATTTTCTAAATAAACCGCAGATCTTTTAAAGCAATTTACAACCTTTTTTCTCCTTTTGTAAGCCTTCAAATAATTACCGTAAAACCTGTAATAGAAGGGCTTCCAAACTGTCAAGGTTGAGCTTAATTATCTCGGCTCCTATAAGAGATATCGAAAATGTATCAATTGACAAAATGTTTGTGATATTATGATAAGAAATTTATTAGTTAACAACTTTTTTTTATATCTTTGACAGGAACCGAGATATATTTGCTCAAAGTTAAAAGTTATAATATTTTTCTCCAATTTTTCAGAACATTCAAAGTCTGCATTTCTAATTTACTTCCAAATAAACTGCATACCTTTTATATGATCCACAACTGTGTTCTCTCTTTGTAAGCCTAGAAATAATTAACCTCACCACTCAACTTTCCAGAAGCTTGTGACCCTAATTGGTTTGGTGTCAAGTGGATTTTGAGTAATGACTCAACTTGACTACCTTTTTTCTTTCCCACCAACCAGTTGCCTTGAGAAAATGTTAATTTGCGCTTCAGTGGATCGTCGCCAACCTCTTTTCCTTCCTCTAAATCGTTTTATAACTGTAGTAGGTCAGGTCATCTTTATCCCGGATTCTGAATTTGGGGAAGAACTTATTTTCACTGTCTCACGTGCCAAGCCGTCTTGTTGTTACCTTGAAGTGGATGAATGGCAGTCACGATCCCCTGTCTTTTGAATTCCTTTTGGCGACAAGGAATACTTGACTATATGGCTGGGTGCATCTCTCCTCCTTCTGATTCTGCGTCTCTTCGACGTCCTTGACACTCGCCTCTCGGCACTGTCTTCTGGCTTTCACGCCACTCCGAAGAGAGACACCAATCCGTTTTTCCACACAAAAACCGCAGTTTTGTGTGAAGAAGAAGAGAAATCCACCCACACACAAAACGATTTGGTTCTTTCCTTGTCCTTTTTACTTCATCGTCCCCTTTTCCGGATGATTGTGATCTTCTTGGTAGATGTTTTTGGATACGATGAGTCATGTATGTTTGTTGAAATTTGAAAGTTCAAGATGTGGAAGACAGAATTCTTCCTTAGATTCTGATTGGGCAGACAGAAGGCGCTAATTGATGACGATCAGATACCACAAAAGGTTTTCTGTTGGTTTTCGACGATTAACATAAACATAGATTTGAAATGTTCGTGATTCTCCTACTACTCTTATATTTCCTACATTCTACATAGTCATGTTTCTAAAAGTTTCAGAATTTTATTAGAGTCCTCTCGTGATCAGAATCTCGTTTTTTTCTAATTTGATGATTCGTAATCCTTATTTTTTGCTGAATTCCTAACTTTATTTCTCTATGAGGAATAACTGAATTCATCTTCATTTTTTAAATTGGTTCACTAGAAATTTGGTTTTCGAAAGTTCTAAAAAGCATCTAAAACTTCATAGACCACAATTGCTTCCTTGTACCGTATTTCCTCTAAAGCCCACCTAAATCGTGAACTTTAAGCTCCATTATCTCGGTTCCTCTAAAAGATATAACAATTTGTTCAACTGATAAAATATTAATGATATTATGATAAACACTCTGTCAGTTGATGACTTTTTTGTATCTTTTACAGGAATCGAGATAATTGCGCTCAAAGTTGACTTGCCGTAAGCCCTCTAATAGAAGCCTACTGGAACCTGCAACTTTGATCTTGATTATCTCGATTCTTTTAGAAGATATCAAAAATTTGTCAAATAATAAAATATTTTTTTTATATTATGATAAACAATTTATTAGTTGACCACTTCTTGATATCTTCCGCAGAAATCGAGATAATTGAGTTCAAAATTGACGGCTAGAGGAAAATATGGTATTTGAATCCCGTCTGAATGACCGTTCAAATTTTTGCAGACCCCTAGTTCTAGATCTTTATTTGTTTTCCTTGTTTCCCCACCCAATTGTCCCAACTCATTCATCCCTTCATGTCTGTGTTGATTGTTATTTCTTCCCTCACCAAACACATTACTACCAGTTCTTCTTCTCCAACGCAAGTAGACTATTATTTTCCCCTTATTCCAGCTTTTCTTTTGTATTATACAGTAAAATCCACTTGACATCTTTTTTTGGTACCAAAGCCACTTTCTTCATTTTTTAAAAAATTTCTTTCTGATGACCCGATTTCTAATTAGGAGAGAAGCTGTTATGGGGGAGAGAGAGTGATAAAGAATCCATTCCCTGTCCATTTTCATCTTCTCTTCTTGGTCAATTCTATCACTTTCCCTCTTTCTTCTTCCGTTTTCCATCGTGTTCACCTTTTTCTTGTCATTTTGACCTTCTTTTCTTTCCGTTGCTTCATCTCTTCTATTCAATTTCCCATATCTCTTAAATTTCTGATTCTAGATCATGAAATGATACGCTGGAAGTACGGAATTCACTACCTCATATGGCTCCTTCTCGTGCTGCATTTGTCGACGTGTCAATCAGATTCCTCTCTGACGACGTCGGCCGAGCAGCACGAGTTGTTTGCCATCAAGAAGGACTCGTTGTCTCCGTGGTCTCAAATTCTTGTTTCATTACCACGGAGGCATCCTTTGTATCAGAGTTTTGCTGCCAAGATTCAAGATGTAACTGAGAATATGTGAGTGGTTTTTCTTTTATTATGAAGCTAATTAGGTTTTTTTCCAGATCGGATGATGTTAGAGACGCGAACAAAACATTCGTTTCGTCCGATGATTCTCCATATAACATCAGGATACATGCTCTGAAACCAGGACACCGATACTCGTAAGTTTTTTTTCTGGTTTTAAGATTTTTTTTCAAAAATAGAATTTCAAAAGTTTTTGAAAAATATCCTTTCGAGGCTTCGAAAAAACTTATATTGTAAAACCTGTATTAGAATGGCCCTTTTAATTTCAGGACCCTCTTGAAAATTTGTAAATTGAAGCGAAAAGTTTCCGTACATTTTTAGTAAAAAGTATTCTTCAAAACTTAACAGAAATTAGTTGAAAAAATTTTTTTCACTTAAAATTTGCTCAATTTTGGAGAAATTGATACATTTTCATACACTTTGAACTAAAATTCACCGAATTTTAAAATACAAATTTTCGGAAAAAATGGCCGGAAAAAAAAGAAGAGCCTCTTGTAATTGAAAAGCTCCTGTAATAGAAGGGCCCTCCGGGGGCACCTCGAAACAAAAGAAAAGGCTGGCCCGTATGATACAGTTTTTACTGTATTCATTTTTATCGAAATTCCAGAATTGCTATCCACGGCCAAAAAGATGGATCGACCTCCTTGATAAAAGAAGAATCGGTTGTTATGGACCCTCGGGCTCCCGACTTCCGATCAATAGATTCTGATATCCAGGTGGCAGAGCACAACATCACAATGAGAACAATTAAGAACGATTCTTACTTACAAGACTCTTTCTCAATTGAATATCGTCAGATTAACCCGGATAAGAAGTTTCCAGTACTCCAGATTTTGGATATTCCGGAGCAGAAGAATTTGGAATTTTATTTGGGAAACTTGAATTCGGGATTTGACTATTCCGTTCGAGTCATTGCTCATAAAGACGGAATTAGCAGTAGACCTTGGATTTCTACATTAACCACAAGTAAGTTCTGAAGATATTCGGTTAAGTAGAACCCTCATGTTTCCAGAACCATCACCGGTCAAAGCAGTAAACATAAATCAGAATTCTGGGTCTTGTGTGGAAGTGACGTGGCAAACGGATGAGTTCAGTGGTGCTGACTTTTATACAATCCAATATGCACTCCAATCAAATCCATCAAATTCTACAAATGTTAGTTTTCTTCGATTTGTATTTGTTCACTAGGGGGTTGTTCTCTTTTGATCTTTACACATAATATTTGCTCTTCTATTCTCATTTTTTCCTTTTCAGATGACAATCCCTTCGACCGAATCGTCGATTTCCATTTGTGACTCGATGCTCCAAGGAGAGGCATATCAAATTGTGGCGACTGTTCAAAAAGGAGGTCAAGTTTCGGACCCATTGCTCACTAAGTTCCAGTTGAGACCACTTCCACCGATTGACTTTCGAGTAAGCTTTTCTGAGTAGCCGATGTCTCAAGTTGAGAACTTTTTCTTCAGGTACGCGCGGATTTAAAGCGTGGAAAGTACAAGATGCTCGCAGAGCTTCCGACGTCTTCTAAAATCGACAAGTGTCAGATTACTGTAGCTGGAGATGAAGTTGAGAGATCGATCAATTATGCAAATATTGAACAGACTAAATCTGGACACAGAATGTGAGATTCTATCTTTATACGATAAATCTTATCTTCATTTATTTCAGATGTTGGTTCAACTTTGCCCTGTCTCCAGGAGAACGATTCGACTTTTCCATTTCCTCGATATCAGATGAATCCACGAGTCAGAAGCTTCAAAAGAGTATTGTTTTAACACCTGCATTCGATTTCAATGCATTCGGATTGACACTTCAAGAATCAAATGGAGGTATTGAATTGATTTGGCCGAAGAGTGAGGTGTTCATGTCGAGAGTCAAGGATATCTGGAACAAAGTTGTCGGATCGGATAGTCTTCTGAATATGAGAATAACACCAATTGGAAGCATTGATAATACTGATAAGACATTAAAATTTGAAACTTCTCCGAAGAATTTGGATCCTGTTTTTGCCAAGAATCTTGTGAAAGGAGCATGCTATCGAGTCCAACTGTTCACTGTAACTAAAACTGGAATTATCTCGGAGACACGACACAACGAGACAATCAGAATGTCGAGTCCCGCTGTGAACGTTTCTTTGGAAAGTGTAACAAGGTCATCAGCAACTCTTCGAATTGTTTTTGCAACTCACCATGATTCGACATCAATTTCCAACTGTCAAATGCATATCGTCGTACGGGATATGAACGGAAAAAGTGTGTTCGATAAGCGAATGCAACTCACTTCCACATTCGCCCCACTTCTAAACCTGGACGGTCTGAGACCATTTCACAAGTATACGGTAAATACTCAAATCATTTGTGGAGGTGGACATGAGACGCCACAGTGTCCAGCTGCTACACGGACAATGAGGCAGTTATCGTTTTCAACGAGACAGGATAAACCGGCCGCTGTGCAGAATTTGAAAGGTAGTTCTATGAACATTGGTTAAAGACTTCAACTTGAAGTGAAGAGAAAAATTGAAGGGGATTTCTCAGATCAAATGAAAATCGGATATTTTCAGTCGAACCGTTGAACTCCTACTCTGTGATGCTCACTTGGCTACCACCAGCTATGCCAAACGGAATCCTGACCCATTACAATGTGAATGTTACCAAAATGGGATCAGACGAGACCAGAACCATCGATGTCGGAGTCTCTTCGAATCGATCTGATCACACTGTCCAAGTTATCGTTGATGAACTTTTCGGAGGACACACCTACAACTTCAGTGTCCGAGCTGTAACAGAAGCTGGATTTGGAGAAACGTCTCCAGTGATTCCAAGTGTTTCTATGCCTCTGATGGCCCCTCCAAAACCAACGGCGGCTCCGATGATAATGAAAGAGAGTGTCGGAAGCCATAGTATGATAGTTAGATTCCCTACAACTATGTTTGATAATAGGAATGGTGAAATCAAGCAGTAAGTCGTTTAAAGGGGGACTCTGAGCAAAAATTGTATTGTATAAAAATGTGTTATCTATTTTCCTAATATTATTGAGAAAAAATTCCATGATCCCCGAAAAACCGCCGTTGAAAATTTAAAGAAAAGGGCGCCGAGGAGGGACTAAGATTTGAATTCCCGCGCAGTGAGAAACTTAGGCCACGGCGCCTGGCAGGCACTTTTTTAAAATTTTCAACCGCATTTTTCGGGGATTTTGGATTTTTTTTTCGAATTTTTCGCAATAATATTAAGAAAATAAATAACTTATCGAACAGTTTATTGCAATAAAAACTTTTGCTCAGAGTCCCCCTTTAAAATCTAACATAAATTATGACGTTCTGTTTTCAGATTTGCTATAATAGTATCTGAAACTACAGCTGACGATTCCATAAATAGATGGCTTGAAACGGATAACGGAACTTATGTAAGCATATCAAATTATCAAGTAATCGAATACATGTTCATGACGTAAATCTTCAGACATGGCAACAAGTTCAACGTTTCGATGTTTGGCCGTCCTTTGTAGCGAAACTTCAGGATATCCAGAAAGTAAAACAAGACGCTGATGTGTCGATTTTCGAAGAATTAGGTGACGACGAGAGTTGTCGAGAGGTTAGAGCGGATCGAATTTGCAATGGACCTCTCCGATCGGCATCAAAGTATCGCGTCAGAATTCGTCTTTTCACTTCTCCAACACTTTTCACAGATTCGCCACCCAGTCAAGTGATGACCACCGGTGAGTACTCATTTCTTCTCTTTTCTTCTTCTTTTTCTTCTGCAGAAAAGTTCTTTTCTCTTATCAGTCACAAGAATCATCATCATCATCATCATCATTTCTTCTCTCTTCTTCTTGTCCCTCCCCCGCTTCTTCTCCTTCTCCCCCAGGGGAAAGTCTCTCCTCTTTCTTTCTCTGTCTATTTTCACGCCCACTATTCAGTTTTGACTCCTGCTCTTGATAACCTGAAACCTGAGATCCTTTCTTGAAACAGGGAGAAGAAGGTCCCCTCTGGGTGCACATTCTACTTTTTCATTCACGGGTGCAACCTACAAGAGATCCAGTTCCTTCTTCTTCTTTTCCTCTTTTGCTCTTTCTCTGTTCATTTTTTGTTTTTCTTTCTTCCTCGAAATCTTCCCCCGCCCCTTGGCAATCATTTCCGGTTCGTCAGCTGATGACATCGGCAAATGATCGGATCGAATTGATATTAAACCTGGTGTCAGTGCTCAAGGGGGATAAGATAGAGCGATGTTCATCTCTTAAGATTAAATAATATCTGAATACGTAGAAAATCTTCTTTTTTGGGATCGGAAGACTAGAGTACAGTAAGGATACGGTTGTTTTAAGTCTAGAATTTGAACATACCACAAACACTTTGAGCTTAATTATCTTCATTTCTATAAGAGATATCAAAAATGTGTACACTGATAACACATTGGTGATATTGTAATAAACTTTTTTTCAGTTGACACATTTTTTTTGATATCTGTTATAGAAAATGAGATAATTTAGCTCAAAGTGAAGGAAATCTGAAAATTACTTCTCATATTTTCAATCAAATCGGGTATTTGTTGTCATTCAAAATATCAAATTCCAATACTATTTTTGAATAAACCGAACCAAACTAGTCATTTTCTTTGGTTTGTGAATTCTTATAAATTATGGGTTTCCATGCTTCCTAGAATTTCGATCATCTCTGATCCTTTACACCTCCCCCCACACCTTCTTCTTTTTTTTTCCTGGGTGGGTAGGAGCAAACTTATCGTTCATTACGAGCATAGATACAGACAATCATCAATTATGAATCACAACTGATAACGTTCCATTGGTTTGATAAAGTGCATATTATTGCAAATTTAGCTATTTCTGATTGTACTTGGGGTGATCTTGTTAGTTACGAGATTTCGGAGAGGTCTATTTCTGGCAAGCCAGCTATACTTCTCAGAATCAGAAAGGCGTCAAATCTTGCTTATCGAATAATCTTTGGTCAAGAGCATAAAAAGTGGGACGGCACACGTTCTTCCCCTTCTTTTTCTCGGTTGATAGATTAACATTTCCGATATGTTTATAAAGTAAAACTGTTGTGGCGGGGGTCCTGCGTCCACAAATACACAAGCCCTTCCTGTCTCTCTCTCACTCTATGTGCCACCACCACAACAAATCGAACTTTGCTTTTTCCCCCCCCCCCCCCCCCCGGGGCGCCGCCCACGTGAATATATGATATGTGCACACATAGCGACGTGAGCCCCCGTGTGCTCCGAAGAGAGGCAAGTGAGCACAGCCGTGTGGAAGGAGCCACCGCAAGGCATCAGCCGTTTTTTTTTTCGGCGAACACCCTTTTCTCTTTTTCTCTCTCTTTTTTGCTTCCTTCACCTTTTTCCATAGGTCCGTTCGCTTTTTTCTCTTTCTTCATCGGTGCAATTTGCTACTAGTTCTTTTTTTTATTGTGCCACTACTACTACGTCTTCTTCTTTTTCATACTTCTTCTCTCTCCTTTTCTCAACCTCTTCTCACATCCTCCTCCTCCTCTTTTCCTATTTTTTTTCTCTTTTTTCATTGCCATTTTCATATTTTTACTTGCCCAAGGGTTGTTCACACCACCTGACAACATGTGCCAATAAATCACTGTGAAGGCGTTCTCTTCTTCCAATTTCACCTTCACAAAATTTTGTTGTTTTTTTTCTCTCTTTTGGTTGGCTGGAAATTTTCGGTGTTTTTGAAGTTTGAAAAATTCTATAACTAGAAGAAAATGGTCCAAAATTTTTTCGGAAACTCTCCAGAGACTTCAGCTTAAAAAGAAGCACTCATTCTTCTTGCTAATCAAAGAAATTATGTTTAGAAGACGATTTCCATTCTTTTAGAATACCGTAAGACCTTTATTAGAAAAGCCATTTCAATAGAAAAGCCTCTTTAATAGAAGGGCTCCTTCAAAGTTTGTTTTTTGAAATTAAAAATTTTCGTACGTTTTCATTGAAAAATCTTTCGAAAATTCCAAAATTTACTGAAATTTATTTTTTTTGTAGTTTGTTTTTTTACTTTTAAACTTTGCTCATTTCGAGTGAAATTGATAGATTTTCATGATATTTGAACGAGAATTTACCAAATTTTTTGATGAAACGTTTTGGAAAAAAAAATGACTGGAAAAATAGAATATCCCCCTCAAATTAAAAGGCTCCTGTAACAGAAGGGCCCTCCGAGATACAATAGAAGGGCAGGCTCTTCTAATACAGGTTTTACGGTAATCAATGTATTCCTAAACATCCAAGAATCTCAAATCCTGGCTTTACAATTTGTATCTCCACCTATTCATTTTCCCAGACAAAATCTTCTAATTGGTTCCGAATTTCCATTTCTAACGGCATATGTTCACCTCCGTTTCGAATTATATGAGCAATGGACCAAATATGAAATGTCATGAATAGAATTGGCTGTCCAGTTGATCCCCGACATCCCCCGCTTTTAATTCATTTCATTCCATTTTTTTCCCCAATTTTCCAGCCGATTCGATAGCAATCCATCTCTGTCAGTTCCCCCAACACAAAAGAGCCTTTTTTTCCCGATAACGCCTACCCTTTTTTTTATTGAAAAGACAGGAAACGAAAGGAACCCATTGACACAAGGGGGCGAATCAGAATGATTTGATAAGCCCACGAACTCTATTGTCCTTTTTTTCTTGCAAAAGAAGCTCCTCCTCTTTGTTTCTTGCTCTTGCAATGTGTGTTTGCTCCTCCTACTCTTTTTCTTCTTCGCTTAAACGACTAATCCGTAGGGTCCTCTTGGAGTCGTCCGTGATGAGCCCACACACAAGCACAGAGCCAAAGAGCCCCAAAGTTATGAATAAATATGAGAGGAAAAAAGAAGAAGACCGTCTTTTCCCCTTTCGTTATCCAAGAAATGAGACACCATGCATTTTTTTTGTTGGAAGAATTCGTTTCGTTTTATTTTTGTGAACATCTAGATCTCTTGTTAGTCTTTTTAAAAGTACTAGAATCCGCCCCCACACACGGACCTTCTCCCTGTAGACAACGTCTTCTTTTTGTCACATTACTTTTCTCATAAAGGGACGAAAAAGGGCTCAATGTGTTTGCGCTCCCAATGCCACAAAAACCCTCTTCAGACAGGCTTTGTTGTATAAATCCAGGAGCAGCACAATAGAAAATGGAAATTGGAAAAGTAGAAAAAGTTTCTAATTAAATCTTCTTCTACTACCCTCTTCTTCCACCCTCAACATCTTATTATTCTTTCCTTCACTACTTTCATCTGATTTGAATTCTTCTTCTTCTTCCCCTCTTTGAAATGATTACCCGGCTCACCGCTCCTTTCTACCTTCCTTTTCTACTCATTCTCCTTTTCTTTCTCTCATCATCATCGTCGCCTTTCTTTTTTCCCAACATCTTCTTTTCTCCTTTTTTGAGTTATGAGAAGAAGAAGAAGAGCACACGGCGTCAGAAGAAGAGCTTCTTCTTCTTGTACTCTGTCTCCCACGCAAAGACACCTTATGCTTCTTTTTGCTCAATGAACATCAACATTTTCTAGGTTGGGGCCCCTCTTATTCGTCGGTTTTGCATATACGCTCTCCGATTTTTCTTCTTCTTCTTCTTTTTCTTCTTTTTTCGCTCCTCCTTTTGTCAGTACAAAGGTGACAAAAATGTCCAAAACACACGGAGAGATTCTTGAAATCTTTTGTCTGAACTTTTCCTCGTCTGGCGTCACTTTTTTCTTTGCATGACTTTTATTTAGACTCTCAAAATTTGACCAGATTACATGTAGTTGTCTATGATTCATTAGCCGATCAGACTCCTCGGACTACTGCAACCGTTGAACTTTCTGATTAATATCGAGGCTTATCTAAGAAAGGAAATTGATGAAAGTGTTTACTGATCAAGAATGGACATGAACAGACTCCTCGCATTCGAATGTCATTTTTCCACGAAAAAGGTAGTCAAAAAAAAAACAGTTTAGAGGCTTACTGACGGAGACCGAAATGAGAGGAATTATCGTCTTACTAGGAGAATAGTGCTTGAACTTTCTGAAAGTCTGGCTTATTTTTAGACGAAAAGTTACGTGCGGATCTGAAAATGTTCATCCTTAAACTTTTTATCTGAGGAATCCTTGTAGCCATCTGATCCTAGTCTCTAGAAGCTCAACCTGCTAAAGAAGCACACAGGTTTCAGGAGTGTGAAGCTCGGCTGTCAATTTTCCGATCACTGTGGAAGTTTTGAAAATTATAAAACAGACCTAAATAGAAAACTTTGCATTCCCGGATTTTCTCGAATATTCCCGGTTTTCCAGCTACTGACCAATTTCTGAAAGACCATCCTTCAAAAAGAAATTAGCCAATAGCTGAAAAACTAGGGATATTCAAAAAATTCTGTGAATGCAAAGTTTTCAATCTAGGTCTGTTTTACACCCTTCAAAGTTTTCAAACTTATCGGAAACTTGCCGAGCTCCCAACTCTCGAAAATGGCCAAAATTCGATCGTTTATCTTATCGACCGGTACTGTACATTTCACTCTCTTGAAAATTGTCAGTTGATATCAGAAATCTGAATATCATGCATAGGAATTGAGACAATTGACCTCAAACTTGGCAGTGTTGGGCCCTTCTATTACAGGTTTCAAGTGTATTTTACTCACTCTAACAATTCAATCAAAACAACCATTACCCATTAAAATCATTTTCAATTCCCCGGAATCAAAATTGCATCCTCCCTATTCATTTTTCTAATCCTAGAAAACTGAAATTGGCTCTAATCCCCATACATACAATCCGGAATAATTACTTCCTTGTTCCCACGCATTCGCATTCCGTATCCTTCTTCTTCAGAATTCCAATTAAGACCATTACGTATGACATTTAATCAAGTACGTATGACTATCACACATATACAAAAAGTCATGTTTCTCGGAAGAAATCCAGGATACTTTTAATCTAGATCCTTGAAAGCCTTTCTTTCTCCTCGAAGCCCCGCCCACTTCCAGTATTTCTTTCGATTCTTTTCCACTCTCTTTTCTATGCATTAATGCTGAAAATTGGTGTGGCACTGACACGTCACCTATTTTTTGTGGGTTTTGTCAAAAAGGAAGAAGAAAAAACATACAATTATTTGTAGCTCCCCGGGTCTTGAATTTGATCTCTGCCCCCTTTTTTCCACACCTTCTTTTTCGTCATGGCTTCCAATGTTGGTTTCGATCTCCGATCCGACCTGTCACTTCCATTTCTCTCTTCTCCAATGACGACAATTAGACCCTCCCGCCGCACTACTTCCAATCTTCAAATCTCATTCATTCATTCCGTTTTTTTTCAGGCTCAGCAACTCCTGCCATCCCATTTGTCACTGTCGCCATCGTTCTGACAGTGATCGTGTTTGCTGGCATCGTCGGTACGGTCTTCCTTCTTTTCTGGAATCGGACAAAGAAAGCGAGGTGAGAGAATAGTATTTTTATTATTATTATTAAATCTTCTGAAGTTCTTCTTATTCTAAAAAAGGAGAAGAAGAAGAACTAGTAGTAGTGTTTGTTTCCCGACACTGTCCTCCGTTCTTCTTCTTCCCTTCCATCCTTTTGTGTTCGAGTGTTCAGCTGTTTTGCAAATCAAACACAAGCCTCTTCGGTCCGCGCGTTTTTTCATTTCCAAATGCCCTCCAACATTCTCTTCTTCTTCCTTTTTTTTCTGGTTTCAATTTGTTCATCTTCTTCCTGAATGCTCTTTTGGTTGTTTTTGGAGGGGGAATCTGAACACCAATGACTAATTGATGAGAATATAGAGACTACTAAAATCTCAATGTCTGACTCATTCAGCTTCTTCTTCTTTCTTCCTCTTCTTTTCTCTTCTTCTGCTTCTTCGGTAGTCTCAACTTGTCTTCTCACGGCCCCCGCACCCATTGTGTCTTTTTCTCAATCGACCACCTGGGCATAAAAAAACGATAATAATAGATTGTGATAAAAAAAGTGATCTTCTTACATTTCTACTAGTCTCTCTCCGCCTCCAAGACTCCGCCCCCCCCCCAAAGTGTAGAAATAGGAAGTTTCATAATTTTTGTTTCAAAAAGTGCCGTTCTTGTTTCTTTCCTTGCCACTTCTTCAGAATTCAGAATTCATACTTCTACCGAAGACATCTTCTTTACCCAATGATACAAATTGACGTCATCGAAACTTACTCGTTTTGCATATGTGCCGCACGTATAAATACATAGAAAACCCGAAGAGATAGACATCAAAATTCATGAAAAAGGACAACTCGATCGAGAAAAGTAGTAGGGAAAAAAACGAATAAAAAAAAGCAACGAGTAAGAAAAGATGATGTCTCTATATACTTTTTTTTTCTTTTCATTTCTCTGAGTATCTTATTTCCAACACTAATCCCTTCCCTCCTCCTCCTCGTTCAGACATATTTTTATTAGTAGATCAAATTGCAGACTCGCAGCAGCGGCATTCAAGAACGGACCCTCAAAAGAGAAAGAGTCTCAGTGGGAGGCACTCAAAATGATGATGGCAGAGAGAGCCGCCGACTGCCTTGCCAAGCTGGGCCTCGACGCGACGACACCGCCACCGTCATCGACGACGACGAGCTCCAACTCGCCAACGTCAACCTCGACGACTATGACGGACTGTGGCAGTAATCCACACCTCGGAGCACCCAACGCCAATGCTGGAGGACACCGACGAACGAGGAGTCTGCGGGAGCGGACAGGTGTCGAGCATCGTCTCGAGCGTCTCTCGTCAGGACCAATTCATCGAACACCACTCTATACGGTCGTCAGTGGAGCCAATACTAATAAATCGTGAGTTTTTATTTTTATTTTGGGAGTTTGATGTACGAAACAATATAGTGGTACAAAATCCTCAATTCGGGGGTACACAATACCCCAAATATTCAAATTTCGTATTTTAGGCTTACTGTAGATTCTTTCAAAGTTCATAAAGTACGAGTAAGGGTAGATCAATTGAACATTCTGAGAATACCTTTTGATCCACTCGCATAATTTTGAACAGATTGGTCTACGGTATTTCAATACCGTACCAAGTGTTTTATTTTTGGGGTTTTAAATACAAGTTCAGCTGCAAAATAGATAATTAGTTTATTTCAAGGAATATGAACATCCATTGAATAGTCGGAGCACTCTACTAGATTAAAAATAACACAAAGTTCACCGACTCTTTGCAAAGAACTTAGCACTCTGTGCACTTTTTGCAGACATACGAATTTCTGACTTCTAACCTGAATCCCCTTTTTTCAGAAGACCAGTAAGACTCGAAGACTTCGCCGAGCACGTGCGACTGATGTCAGCAGATTCTGATTTCCGATTCTCTGAGGAATACGATATGATGCGAAACGTGGGTGTTGGACAATCAGTCGCCGCTTCAGAATTGACTGTAAATCGACCGAAGAATCGTTTCACCAACATTCCTGCCTATGATCATTCCCGTGTGAAGCTGTCAAATCCGAATAATATCGAAGGAGGCGACTACATCAATGCCAATTATGTTCCCGGATTCTCGTCTCGTCGAGAGTTCATTGCCGCCCAAGGTCCTTTACCATCGACACGTGATCACTTCTGGCAGATGACGTGGGAGCAGCAGTGTCCAGCGATCATTGCATTGACGAAGTGTGTGGAAAAGGGACGAGATAAGTGTCATCAGTACTGGCCGGATCATGAGAATGTGCCTGTTTTGTATGGAGATATTGAGGTTGAGAGGATTTTCATATTTTATTTAAATTTAAGCATTTTATTTCTAGGTAACGATAATGGCTGAAAAAGAGTACGAAGAGTTTGTGATCCGAGATATTCGATTGGAAAAAGTGGGTCCAGAAGGTCGAGCGACCCGATACGTTCGTCATTGGCATTACATGGCGTGGCCAGATTTTGGAGCACCAGCCCATCCGAACGGAATCATTCAATTCTCTCGAATGTTCCGACATCAGCTACCACATTCACCTCACAACGAACCAACGATAGTACATTGCAGGTGTGTATTTTATTAGAAAAAAGATTATCAATTTAAAAAAAAATAATTTTCAGTGCTGGAGTTGGTCGTTCTGGAACCTTCATCAGCATCGATCGTCTCCTACAAACTAGTTCACTTGGAGAGCCAATCGATGTATTTGGAACAGTTTGTGAGATGCGATATGAGCGGTGTCAGATGGTGCAGAATGAAGTGAGTTTTCATTTCCAGAGTATTCTGAAACAATCTTTATTTTTCAGCAACAATACATATTTATTCATTATTGTGTTCTTCAAGTCCTTCAAGGATCTTCTCCATCACCCACGTCATCTTCATCAGGTGCTCATCACAACGCTGGTTTTGTACAAGATGGAATGATGGTCGAATCGGGATTCTGATTCTCCTTTTCTCCGAATATTTACCTTGTTCTAGTCTATTACTATTCGCCCTCTTCCCACATTCATTTTTCTTCCCATCCCATCCCACTTTTGTTCATTTTCTTCGGTATCAACGGGTTTTGTCTTCGTTATTTCCTTTTCATCTCCATCTCTTCCGTGACTCCACCTCCTTTTCCAATTTTCTGGAGATTATCAATTCTTTCAAAAAACGCGCGCTTCGATCCTACCGACGGGTAACAAACTATTGAAAAAAAACCGTATATTTATTAAATACGTAATTAGCTTTTTTAACTTTTGAACGATTATAATTGCGATTAACTTTGATTAATGATTGAAAAAAAATTAATAAATTGTTTTCAAATTAAAAGTTTGTTTTCTTTTTGTACAGGCAGAGGAATGTATTGAGAATTGGCAATAGTTGGGATTGAATGTCAGAACTTACAAGACAGAACAAACTATTTTTCTGGTACAAAGAAACCATAACTACAACTACTGAAACCCAAAATGTACTTATTTTCCATAACAGTTTTCTCGTCTTTCAACGCCTATCGCACGCTGTTTCAGAGAGCCTGGCTGAATAACGCGCCTTCATTGGCTGAGTAACAACGATGATCTATCAATAATAAATAGATGAAATCTGTGTCCACTTCAAAATTTAAAATTTTAATTTGTCCTACGAATTCGTTGAGGCGCGTTTTCCGACACTCCACCGATTCCGAGGAAGGGGTTGTCACCGAGGAACCGATTCCGAGGAAATCGGGGCGGAGTTTCAATTTTTGCAGTGTCGC